TTCAGGCTTTCATCTTTAACAAGAGTTCTGTAGAGGAAGGCTTAAGCATGGCTTGAACTTGGCAGAGGTCCCTTGTAGCTAGGGTCTTAGGTAAGTTGCAGTAGACAGAATCTCAGTTCCATCACTGCCTTCTGTCAGTGAGTGAGCCGAAATTTAGGGTTTGTATGTGAATTTGTCACCTTGACTCTACAGGACAAGGGCCAGTGTGATGTCAAAGACTAGTACGTTACGTCTTTTTTCCAAGCTTAGAGAGTAGCTGAATGATGCGTGTTTTCTTCAAGGTTAGAGATTAGGGAGATTGTTTAGATTTTTGTTATATTTTCTTGTGTCACAGCATGCTGGGTCAGAGTGAACTTAAAGGTTATTTATATTCTTTACATACTTCACATGTTTCTATGTCTAAGTTCAGAAGTTTTCTAAGAAACTTTCTTATGACTTACAGGTTACTAATGAGTTACAGTTAATGTTAGAGAGCCTCACAAAGGTATACATATTTGTAAGTTCATATTATGAGTGCTTATACATGTGTATTTTGAAAGCATAACAATAACTTATACCTTATGGGATTTGAGATCATTGTGGAAACATACAGAACACCTACCTTTCCCCAAAGCCTTTCTACCTGTTTAGTATTCTTGTATATCCCAAGGAGAGCTGGTGAAGTGGCCCTGAGAGCGCCTGATCTGATAGTTAGACCAATGTGCCCAGGCCCTTTTTATCTACTCTGTGCCAGGCATTGTGCTAAGTGCTGGAGACACAGATATGAATGGTAAACAGATCCTGCCTTTAAAATAATCCAGTGATAAGTAGTCTACAAAATGTGTAAAATTGGATCTTCTGTCATTTGTGAAGAAGCAGCTCATCATTATTTTTAAGGAAGGAAAGGAATTATAACTTTTTTATTGAATAAAATTCCTAGCGACTGAACTTCAAGTGATGGATAGAAACTTCCATTTGTTCTATAGAACTTAAAAAAAACTTTTTTTTTTTCTAATTATAAAAGTGCTTGCTTTGAAAAAATGTTTGTATGAGTGTATGTCCACACACACGTACAACCCAGAAATGAAAGTCCCTGAATTCCATGTCCTGGAGATAACTGTTGGTAACAGTTTGTTATGGGTTCTTCTTTAAGTTTCTTCCCAAGAATGCATCAACACTCCAGGGCATATTTACTGTAATGATGTAATTATGTTTTTCTGTGTGTATTAACAACTTGTTTATATAATTTCCTGAAATTTTTTTCTCCTGTGGAATTATTTTGTAGTTGGTTCTCTATGCAACTCTTATGTGGAGATAAAAAATAAAGAAATACAGATTCTTCTTATTCTGCCTGGACATTTTTAGTTGTAAGAAAAATGTCTTTTGCTTAAAATAAACTTACATAAGTGCCAGCTTTTGCACCAAAAATCCAGAAAACCAAACCCACTGCCATTGAGTCAATTCTGACTCATAGCGACCCTATAGGACAGGGTAGAACTGCCCCATAGGGTTTTCAAGGCTGTAATCCTTACGGAAGCAGACTGCTACATCTTTCTCCTGTGGAGCAGCTGGTGGGTTTGAACGGCTAACCTTTTGATTAGCAGCAGAGCACTTTAACTACTGTACCACCAGGGCTGCTTGCGAAGAAGGGCTAGATAGGTTTAAAAAAATGGTCTCTGTATTGGTTATCTGACCACATTGTTGTTGTTGTTAGGTGCTGTTGAGTTGGTTCTGACTCATAGTTACCCTGTGTACAAAAGAATGAAGCACGCCTGGTCCTGTGCTGTTCTCACAGTTGTTGCTACGTTTGAGCCCATTGTTGGAGCCACTGTGTCCATCCACCTCTTCTTTTTTGCTGACCGTCTACTTTATCAAGCATGATGTCCTTCCGGGGACTGGTCCCTCCTGATAACATTTCCAAAGTATGTGAGATAAAATCTCACCATCCTTGCTTCTAAGGAGCATTCTGGCTGTACTTCTTCCAAGGCAGATTTGTTCGTTCTTGTGGCAGTCTATGGTATATTCAGTATTCGCCAGCACCATAATTCAGAGGCATCAGTGCTTCTTCAGTCTTCCTTACTCATTGTCCAGCTTTTGCATGCATATGAGGCAATTGAAAATTCCATGGCTTGAGTCAGGTGTACCTTAGTCCTCACAGTGATATCTTTGGTTTTTAACACTTTAAAAAGGTCTTTTGTAGCAGATTTGCCCAGTGTAATGCATCCTGTGATTTCTTGACTACTGCTTCCATGGGCGTTGACTGTGGATCCAAGTAAAATGAAATCCTTGACAGCGTCAGTATTTTCTCTTTTTATCATGCTGTTGGAATTCTGGTGGTGTAGTGGTTAAGAGCTCAGTAGTAACCAAAAGGTCGGCAGTTCAAATCCACCAGCCACTCCATGGAAACCCTATGGGCCAGTTCAGCTCTGTCCTGTAGGGTCGCTGTGAGTTGAAATCAACTTGATGGCAGTGGGCTTGGTTTTTTTTTTTTTTGGATTATCTTGGTCATGATTATTCCCAGAAGGTAGATCTGTAGGGTGTGGGCGTCCAAGTTTGGGAGTACAGTAGTAGCATTAGCTTCATTTTGCTTAGTTGAATGGGAGAATTTGAAATTGCCAGGGCTATTCTGCAGGGGGTTGAGAGGAAGCAGTAGTGTGGAGGGGCAAAAGGAGGTTAAAAATTGCCTGAGGGATAGGCTGGGGAAGGAACCCTTCATGTGGCCTGTGGGTTGGAGAGGTGTGGTTGTTTGCTGTTCCTGACTGTGGCCCATCTTTTGACTGCTTCCAGCTTCCTGTCTCCTCTGTCTTTCTCACAGTCAGCATTTAATACCCTCAGAGATCTCTTACTCTTAGAGGATAAAAATCTCCCTCTGTTCTACAGTCCATTTTCTACTACGTACTTTTCATTAAATTCTAAACTCACTAAATGCCTTTCTTTTGTTAACAGCTTTATTGAAATGATTCACATACCATACAATCCACCCATTTAAAGCGTACAATTCATTGTTTTTAGTATGTTATCAGGGTTGTACAACCATCACCAAAATCAGTTTTAGAATGTTTTTAACAACCCAAAAAGAAACCCTGTATTCATTAAGTCACTTTCTATTCCCTCTCCAAACCACCAGGACCTAGGCCACCACTAATCTACTCTCTATCTGTAGAGATTTGCCTGTTCTGGACATTTCATATAAATGGAATCATGTAATATGTGGTCCTTGTGACTAGATTCTTTCACTCAGCATAATATTTTTAAAGTTTATCCGTGTTATGTTGTAGAGAAGTCAAGTGGAGCCACAGGGAGCCCTCACCACTGCTCTTGAGGCCATGTTGCTTGGTAATGATCACAGCAAACCCCCTTTTCTCCCCATATACATCCCAGAGGTCCTGCCTCCCCCAGGAGTGTTTGAAGATCTGCAGGGTGTGGGCATGCAAGTTTGGGAATATTACCATTAACTTGAGTATTTCATTCTTTTTTACGTCTGAATAATATTCCGTTCCGTGGATAAACCACATTTTATTTATCTGTCAGTTGATGGACATTTGGGTTCTTCCCACTTTCTGACTATTACGAATAATGCTACAATGACCATCCATGTACAAGTTTCTGTGTGGATATATGTTTTCATTTTTCTTGCATATATACCTAGGAGTAGAATTGCTGGATCATATGGTAACATTTTGAGGAACTGCCAGACTGGTGCCCATTTTTAAATTGGGTTATTTATCCTTTTATTATTGAATTATAAAAGTACTTTATATATTCTGGATTTTCAACAGTATTTCCGCTAATGTTCTTTGCCTGCTCCAGGATCTAATCCAGGATCCCTCATTGCATTTAATTGTCATATCTCTTTGTCTCCTCCAGTCTCTGACAGTTCCTCAGTCTTATCTTTTATGGTTGTAACACTTCAGTTATTTTGTAGACTATCCGTTAATTTGGAGTTTTGTCCGTTGCTTGCTTATAATTAGATTGAGGTTATGCATTATTGGGAAGGATACCACAGAGATGATGTGCCTTCTCAGAATACCACATTGGGGAGTGTATGATGTCAATATGTTTTACTGGTGATGTTACTGTTGATCACTTGGTTTAGACATTGTTTGCCAGGATTCTCCACTGAAATTTACTATTTTTCCCTTTATAATTACTAAATAGGAGATATGTTGAGACTATGCAAATACTGTGTTTCTGCTTAAACTTTTACGTATTCATTTGACCATCCATCAGTAGATCTTACTTGTGGCACTTATTACCATGGTGTTCTAATGGTGGTTTTCTGTTTTTCTCATTCCTTCTATATTTATTTAATGGAATTCTTCTGTAAGGAAGAATTATTGCTTCCTGCCTGTTTATTTATTTATTCAGTTATTTGGGTGTGGCAGTATGGGCTCATGGGTATTTATTTTAACCTGTGAGGTATAGAGGCCCTGGTGGCACAGTGGTTAAGCATTTGACTGCTAACCAAAAGGTGGACAGTTCAAATCCACCAGCTACTCCTTGAAAACCCTAGGGGGCAGTTATACTCTGTCCTATAGAGTTGCTATGAGTTGAAGTCCACTTGACAGCAGCGGGTTGTGAGTTACAATATAATACTATAGTCATTTATTTTTGTTTCTCAAGTTGTTCCAACTTTTCCGGCCTGAATTTTGAGCAAATATGTTTGCCCAGATGAAGACAAAAACCTACTGAGGCCTAAGATACTTGGAGACTGTTTTATTTCACTTAACCTCTAGCAGGATGGAGGACAAGCTAATTAAGACTTTCTTTTTCCATTCTTAAATCGTAATTTGCTGCTTATTATGATGTGTTTTCCTTTTAGGATTAGCGTAGTGAGGCTCCAAGCTCAACACACTCAAAATTGCATAATACAGAATATAAAACATATTGCTTATGAAGTGAATTTAGATTCTATTTGTTAAATGATAAAATTTAGATTTTCTATCCAATTCGAAAATTCTTCATGTTGAAAACATCAATTATTTTTATAAGTTATTTCACATTATAAATCTTGTTTTTAGGAAAAGAAGAAATGTGAAACCCTTCAGAGGGAAGAGTCTGATGAAGTCTCCCTTCCAAAAACTTCCAGAGAGCAGAAAATCCCTCCTCCAGTTTGTGAAATCGAAGGAGACCATCTGAAAGTGTCAGCTGATTCCCAGCTGAAGAATGATGCCAGTGAACAAAATGAGAGTGAAATGTCTGATGTCCCACTCACCTCCTTAACTGTGAGCAATGACGAGTCCCTGTCACGTAACACCGAGACCCTAAAGGGAGGGGGAGAGATCAGAGCCTGTGTCGAGGAGGAAGAAATCAAGCCGAAGGTTGACCCTGGAGACAATGTTGGCACCAAAGTAGAAACTCCCGAGAACTTTACAGAAGTAAAGGAAAATAAATTGGTACAATGTGGACCTTCAGAAAGCACACTGCAGTCTGATTTTTCTCATACTCAGCAGGAAGTGGGAAATTTACATGTCAGAGAAACTCACAATAGAACAGAAGACAAACAAGCCCAGGGTCTTTCTTTAGAGGTGCTACACAGTGTTGGCTTGCAGAGTTCTTGTGAAGCCACAGATGTTTTTCAGCCACCTAGAGTAAAAAAATTGTATCCCCAGTTGCCAGCTGAAATGACTGGAGAAGAACCAACTTTGGTGGCTGTGAAACCCTCATTTCGTAATGAACGACTCTACCCCGAACTCCCATCACAACCAGAGCTAGTACCATTTACTAAAGAACAGCTAAAAATCTTTGAGCCTGGTTCATGGCTGGAAAATGTGGAGTCATATTTAGAAGAATTTGACAGCATGGCTCATCAGGACAGGCATGAATTTTATGAGTTGCTTTTGAACTACTCACGGTGTAGGAAGCAGCTGTTGCTGGCTGAAGCTGAGCTACTTACCCTGACGTCTGATTGCCAAAATGCTAAAAGTCGACTGTGGCACTTTAAGGAGGAGCAAGTGTCTGTACAGGTATTTTTCACTAGTGTTCTGTGAAGCTTGCAGGAGTCTAAGGAATTTGCAATGGAGCTGTTGTTCCTGTGATGCCTTCTAGGTCTGGAGTTGGCTTCTCCTTCCCACACTAACCTTATCTTGGTCTGGAGTAGTACCACACAGAGGTCACAAAGTAAGGTGGCTGCAGGGGCCACACAGGTAACCTGAAGTAGTGAAGCAGGCTGAGTGAAACAGTGGTGATTGGGAAAGCTCATGCTCTGTCTAGAGGGCAGCCACTCTTGAGTTCTAGTGGGTTGTTTTGTTGATCCAGCATTGCCACATTGCCACGTCTCGTGATTTTTCCAAGACAAGCTAGAAATCTGGGTTTTTATGTGAGGGATCCTGATTTGTAAATGTTAGCAACTAATTAAATGCACACACACACACAGTATAGGTCAAGAAAATCATATGTCCTGACCACATTCAGCCATGGGCCATTGATTTGTGACCGTGGGCATAATGCCACGAATATTTGGTGGGTAGAGAATGGCAGGGAGAGGATGATCCATGGAACAAGGTAGAGAGGAGATAAGAAAACAGGGATGGCAATTAGTTACAACCCAGTGGAAGCCAGGGTGACCATAAGGAAAGCAGTTTCATAGTGGGCTGGGAGGGGTGACAGGGAGGAGAAGGCCAGTCTCGACAAGTTTGGCAGTGAAGGGAAGCTGGACGAGGTATCAGGGAGATAAAACATGGGATCCCCCCCCCCCGACTTGTTGGGATACCTGTGTATCTCTCTGTAGGTTAGAGTCTATGGAGAGGGAAGCATTTGGAAATATTGACAAAAAGAGGATAGAATCAAGAACACAGTTGCAGGAGTTAGTACTGGAAAGGAAAGGGTCTCTTTCATTTGAGCAGAACCAAAAGAATAATGAGACTAGGTACAGAGAGATGTTGAGGGGCCTTGAAGTTGAGGAGAGATCAGATTGACCTCAGTGGTAATAAAGTAGAAGGTAAAATCATCAATCAAGAGAGTCTTAGGGACAGGCACTATCATTTTTCTTGCGCCTTTTCCCCCACCTACTTCTTAAGATTTGCTCTTTTGTTATCCGAACTTGTACTGCATTTGTAATTGGTATTATACGCCTTGGCACCTGGTTATATATTTGCTAATATTATTCTGTATACGGCAGTATTCTCTCCTTATCGAGATTATAAACTCTTTGAGGATGGTACTGAAACCTATGCATCACAGATGTTCTATCCCTGCTGCTTGATTATTTCAAGTGCAAGGAGTAACTGTTTTCATATTTTACTCTCTTGGCCACCATTAGGGTATCTGTGCAGATCAAGTGAAAGTTCCAGGCCATCATCGCTACCAGACAGTAGAGATGAATGAAAATGCACTGGGGGAGCTAAAGAAGCTATTTGATGCCAAATCTGAGCACCTCCACCAGACCCTAGCTCTGCATTCTTACACGTCCGTGCTCTCGAGGTTGCAAGTGGAGTCTTACATCTATGCACTGCTCAATAGTTCGGCTGTTCTGAGATCTCTAGCAATTCATCAGCAAGGTCCAGGTGTGTAAGCAATGATGGTCTCGCTCTTTATTGTGATCTGGAATGAAAAAAGAATGCAGTGGTACAATCTGGTTGAATTGACTGTACACGAATTGGTATACAAGGTACCATTTGTCCTTGCTATTTAGCTTGCCTTTCCCAATGTGGGATTGAGATATTGGGAGCAGTGCTAGGTCTCCCTTCCCCATGGGCTGTCATTGTCATTCTCTGCTTCTCTAGGATCCAGAAAGCTCTTTCTTTATCATTGACGTCCCTTGCTGCCCTAGTTTATGTATCTAGGGGAGTCCACGTAGTTTTTGATCCTAAAGCTAATAGTATACCTTTTTATCCTCTGTCTTTTGCAATTTTATTTTTGCTTGTCCAGTTTCTTGAACTATTTTACTTAATTTTCAACAGAAAATCTGTAATATTCTGAGTGTTTCAGGTTTTGGGGAGTTTTAAGAAATTAGCCTTTACCACATGATGTGTTAAGTATTAGCCATTGAGTTATGGAATTTTTATTTCTGGAAGAGATACTAGGATTTTTTAAAGTCAAAAGTACTCCTCCTCCTCCCTCTTGCCCAGGTTTTCTTAACTCAAAGAGCTGGGGTAAGCCAAAAATCTGCTGATCTTCAGATAACATATAATGAATTTTTAAAAATATCATTTATTTTTGTTGTGAAGAATATACACAGCAGAACATAACACCAATTAACAATTTCTACATGTACAGTTTGGTCACACTGATTACATTCTTCAAGTTGTGCAACCATTCTCACCCTCCGTTTCTGAGTTGTTCCTCCCCCATTAACATAAACTCACTGCCCCCTAAGTTTCCGGTATAATATTTTGAGTTGCTGTTGTCAGTTTGATCCCATATAGGTAGATCTTAAAAGATCACAATGCCCAAGGCAGACATTCTTTACTAGTTAGGCTAAATTATTGTTTGATTTTAAGAAGAATATATAATTAATTTTGATGAAGTTAATTTTCCCTTAGTTTGAACTTCACAGAATTAAATACTTTTTTGGTGTATATATTAAGTAGAAATTCTCCTTGGGTTTTTATCTGAACTAAGTATTTTAAAGGGTTTTTCTTTCTTTTTTTTTTTTTTTGGTTGGTTTGCTTTAAATGAAGTTTCTAAGAATTCTCCCAAAAAACCCATTTATGTGGGTCTCACGTAATCCTCTTTTTAATTATAGTGTCTAAGCAGACAGAAAGTATCCCTTCTGATCTGTGTCAACTAAAGGAGTGCATTAGTGTCTTATTCATGTTCACCAGGAGAGTTAATGAAGATACTCAATTCCATGATGACATTCTTCTCTGGCTGCAGAAATTGGTAAGGGAATAGAAATAGGCGTAGTCTGTCTTTTATTCACCTGATAATTTAAGGGAATTAAGAAGTATCTTATTTCATCATAGTTTTTCTTCAGCAGCCTCTTTGGCTATTTCACTTAATGAGTTAATTAGTGACATTTTCTTTGATTATGACACATGATAATATGTTATTTTATCTAGTGCATTATTGAGCACAAAGTACTTTTTTCTTTAATAAACCTTATGTGAAAACGAACCCTAGATTTTAGGAAGAAATGGAAACATGGGAAGTATACCGAATTTAAGACTAGATGTGTATTCAGAATATAGATGTTTGATCTAAAAAATTTCCACATAAATTTCTTTTTATCATGTGTTTAATGTTGCACTTAGTCATGCTTTTTTAAGGGGAAGATGAAAGATATCAGGATTTGGAAAATACAGGAAACAAGTTATGTGTGCTACAGAGGGGGTGGTTATTTGTTTATTGGTTATATTTCTCAATGCGGATGCCTTTGGTGTCTTTATTTTCATACTAGTGTTAAATATGGAGTGTTATTCTAAGCACACTTATTTGGATTTGAGAAGCTATGGAAAACTGCGAATAGATTAAACTGTTTGCCTTGTATCTATTGTCTTGTGGCCAGTAATTTGTCAGAAAGTAAAAACTATTTGCAGAGAAACTACTTATGAAAATTTTATTGTAGCACTCATACATAGATTCATAGGCCACACTGCCTCTGTGTGGTAGAAACTCAACCATTCCATGGTATATCTTACGTCTGGTTACTCTTTTAAAAATTACACCAGATAAGTGACTTTACTAGACCCCCTAGATAAATTTTTATTCTTTTAAAATAGTGAAACCATATGTCCTTTATTGTTCAGGTATCAGTGTTACAAAGAGTTGGCTGTCCTGGAGATCACTTCTTCCTTCTGAACCATATTCTTCGATGCCCAGCTGGTGTTAGTAAATGGGCTGTTCCTTTCATCCAGGTATGATGAACAGCTTTCTGATTCTGAGGAGGTTGGGGCGGTCTTATTAGGAACTTTTCTTGAAGAAATTATCCGCCCCCCCCCAAAAAAAAGACTGCTTGAAAATACAGATATTTAAAATAAAAGTCTTTAAATATGTCTAGTACATATTCATAAGAGTTTTTATGCTGAAAGTTCTTGGGCCACCCACAGTTGATGAAATTATGATAGAATTGCAAACATTCAGTTGTAGCCTGGCTTGGCAGGTGTAGTAGTATGTAATTCTGTAAAATTTCTGTGCAGTGAGGCTCACCAGGGCTTTTTTCTGTAGTATTCAACACAGCTTCCTAAATTAATCCATCCCGCACCATAATTGGTCCTGGTAAAACAGAGACAACCAGCAACTCAAAGTTCTTTAAGTAGTAGCAGAGCTCTTGTTCTGTGTGGTCAACTCTCAAATATCCAGGAGTTGATTATATGGCCTGTGGTATTTCCCTCTCCTGCTTGCCTTTGGGTCGTTTGCTCATAGCAACTACACAGATGTGTAAGAGCCTGAAAGTATGCCAAGTTCAACCTTTCCATATTTCCTTTTCTTCCCTTTTTAGTATTTCTGGTGGCAAAAGTTTGAATCTTTTTAGGTAGATAGAAGATATTTTTTTGTCATTGTTTTCGCTTTGGATTAAATTAGTGGTATTGTCCTTCACCCTATATTGTTACAGGTGATTGATGTAAACTGATCAGTTACCTCTACTCTTTGACTACGGCTGAGTCAGTGCTGCCAGATAACCCTCACTCTTGTGGATTGAGTGCCAACTCCATATTTGTTGCCGCTCTGCCTCCTTTTGTCATAATGCTAGTGAATTAAGGTTATGGACACGCGGGTTGTTGGTCTTCTACAATATACTTTTTCCTTTTATGATTTCAGATCAAAGTATTGAATAACCCATCAGGGGTCTTTCACTTTATGCAGTCCCTTGCGCTGCTCATGTCTCCTGTCAAGTAAGTGCTGATAATACTTCAGGGTGAGAAGATGATCCAGAAGGCACTCCCGTGTGGCTTTCTGTGGTTTGTGATTGGAGTCATTTCCCTTGTCCTTCAGAAATCGAGCAGAGTTCATGTGCCACATGAAGCCCAGTGAGCGGAAACCGTCCTCCTTGGGACCAGCGTCAGGGACCTGGACACTAGTAGATGAGGGAGGAGAAGAGGTAACTTGTGGTATCTCCATTATTTTTATTAACAGGTTTTGAGCTCTTCTTATGTGATGGGTATCATTCTAAGTACTTTGCATATATTATCTCATTTAACCTTCACAACAATCCTATGAGTTAAAGTACTGTTGTGATCCCTGTTTTACAGAAGAGGAAACTCAGGTTGGGGGGGAGGAGTGAAGTCCCTTGTCATTTAATTACACAATCATTAACTGGTGGAGCCTCCAGAGGCCATTCTCTGAATCCGCTGCCACCCTCCCCTAAGAAGATCCTTGTGTTCAGCTGGGAGGATTTGGAACGTGGAAACTAAATCCAGCCAAATTATATTCAGTTTGTATTAGGATTTTCTTTTATGTACTAACAAGTTTCTGGGATTGGGAGCTCACCTACAAATAATCTGAGTCTGTATAATGAAGATCTGGCATTTACAAAGGTTCTGCTTTAACTCTTATCCAGATCTTTCTCATTTGAAAGGTAGAAGATGGCTATTTTCATGAGAATTTAGTGATCAAAATCCAGTTTCTTGAGATAACGTTTATGAATTTTTCTTTCTGTTGTACACATGGCTAGTGTATTTGTAAGAAATTTTTCCTCCAGCTAATTATCAGCTCCAGTGTTTTTTTATGGTCTAAATCCTTATTTGATGTGCTTGTCCAGGATGGCTAGGGACGGTTTACTAACACTACCTCTCTCTGAAAAGGAGATGAAATGCACAGCAGACAGTTTTCAGAACAGCAGCCATTTACCCAGTGCTCATTCAGAAATGGGGTCATTTCACTCCTCCTGAGATTTGCAGGAGGTGGTGAGATGGTGGTAAGTGATGTGAATATATGAACACCTTTGCTGGAGTCTGAAGAGCATCTCAAATTGGTCTTTTAAAGATTGTGAGGGGGGATTTTTTTTTTTTTTCAGAGTGGTCTCTCCTTTTGTTTCTGATTGGTTTACTAGATTTAATCCCAGAGATAGAAGATGATTAAGGACCCTGCCTGGTGCGTGGTTCCTAGTTAGCACTCACCAAATGTTGAGTGAGTTCAAGAATTTGGGGAGTAGATGAGAAAACTGGGGGTGCTGTTGAGTCAGAAAAGGCTGTGGGGAGGAAGGCACTGTGGATTTTCCGTATCAGTGGTTTCTTAGCACTAGTTGTATATTAGAATCCCCTGGGCAACTTAAAAACCTTGCCCAGGCCTGCTTCCAGACACCCAAATGTTTAAAAGCCTCTGTGGTGATTCAGATGTGCAGCCAGAGTTGAGAACTACTACTCAAAGTAGAGTTTCTGAAGTTCTTGTTTGTTCGCCATGTTAGACCCATAAAAAACCCAAAAAATGAAACCTGCTGCTGCCAAGTCGATTCCGACTCATAGTGACCCTCTAGGACAGAGTAGAACTGCCCCATAGGGTTTCCAAGGAGCGGCTAGTGGATTTGAACTGCTGACCTTTTGGTTAGCAGCCGTAGCTCTTACCCACTGCACCACCAAGGCTCCTTGGAGGATAAAAATGAGGTCACTTAAAGAAATTATAATTAAATTGCATTAGTTTGTTGAAATTAGCTGATATAGTCTTAGGATCTCTGAATCTTTTTGCAGCATTCTCTTTTGAATGTAGCATATCTTAGGACTTGTCTTAAAAAGAATCCAAAGATTTCCCTTATATAATCCCTTTGTATGACCACTGTTATTTTTATCCTGTTTTCAGCTGCACTAATTGATAACAACTTCATTCATCCATAACAGATACTAATTGCTTCCTGATAATTCTCTTGGGCACTAGAGTGGGCCTCAATTTTGGGAGAAGAGAATTGTGACTAAAATAATTTGAACTGTAGTGTCATGGCTCTTTAGTGGATTGTGTCAAAGCACTGAGTTTTATAGTAAGATCTCCACTCTAGAGGAATGTTTTTAATTACCTTCTTTGGGATGGAAATTTAATGAGAACAGTTTCAGCCACTGAAGAATGGACATGACCCAGATGCACATAAAATTGTGCTTGCATTTTCAGGGGATTTATAGCCCATCTGTGAACTAAGACTATGAATCTTTGTCTTGGAGGAAAAGTCCATGAAAACTCATATGAGAATCCCACATGTGTACCATTGAGATCATTTAACTCCTGTGACTCCTGTGATCCAATCAGCTGACATGATTTTGCATCTTTTCCCTTAGGACGAAGATCCTGAGACTAGTTGGATTCTCCTTAATGAAGATGACTTGGTTATCCTTTTATCACAGTTTCCATTTCATGAACTCTTTCAACATCTTCTTGGGTTTAAGGCAAAAGGTAGATGAATTTCTTTTGTCATATGTAAAATGTGGTAGCGGCAAGCTCAAACACAGGAACTTAGCATCAAGTCTTACTTCTTATGTGCAGGCTCCTGATTCATGTTCCACTTTGCCCAGCTCTACTACAGAGAGATGATTATATCATCTTGACAAGAGTGCCTTCCTTTCTTTTGTAATTTCCCACTTAGTGCTTAAATTCGAGAAGGTCAGCTAGCTTGCATATTGCTAAGCTTTAATTTTGCACTTTGTCTCAAGTTTCCCATTTCACGTTGATAATAGGAGTAACAGGGATTGTTAATTCTTATCCATTTTGGCTTTGCATCCTCACTGAAGTATTTACACCTGTATCCTTCGGTATTTTTCCATAGTAATAATACTTTTTCCTTTTCTCTTGTTAACTTCTAGGTGATTATTTACCTGAAACAACAAGACCTCAAGAGATGATGAAAATTTTTGCCTTTGCCAACTCATTAGTGGAACTTCTGGCTGTGGGGTTAGAAACCTTTAATAGAGCACGCTATAGGCAGTTTGTGAAGCGCATTGGTTATATGATCAGGTAATGCTGCCGTTGCATCTGTCTTGCTTTGCTTTCACCTTTGTCAGGCACAGACACTCTTAATTGGAGATGATGGATGTTTTAGTGCTATACATGAGGTCTCATTTTTCCAAAAATAATTTTTGTTTTGTTGTTTTTTTTTCACCATCTACCAGATGGCAATTTTATAAATATTTCCAGCCAAGATACTGGGTTAATTATCTCAAATTTAACTGGGTTGTTAGATGACTGTTCTTGGAGTTAATCAAGATCCTCAAGACTACTGCTGGGTGGGACAGGGAAGAGAAGGGGGTTACTGGAAATGCAGGCCCTTTCCCCTTCCTTTGCTTTCTCTGCTCTTCTACCTCTGAGCCTTTGCCTTGGAATTGTGAACTAGCTCTGGAAAACTGGCAATAGCTCTTTTGGTCTTTGCTTCCCTGTTTTCTCTCTTACTTATTCTAATTTCTGTTAAGTACCATTTTTAAAAAATTGCAAAGACTTACAAATCTGTGGCCACTCTCTTATACTGGGAAAGCACTATCATTTATTTGAGTGAAAAGTGGGTTTATGTTTTTATTATACAGTGTCTGAGTAAATACGAGAATATATACTGCTTTTCTTTGAATTAATTTTGTAGCCTCTTTTCTGCATTTTCAGTTTTTCTGTCTTTACTATATCATTATTATATCATACACCTTCGTAGTCACTTCAGCATATAAATATGCCATTTCTTCCATCCAAAAAAAAAAAAAAACCCAAAAAACTAAAAAACTTTTTCCTATCCCCACTTTTATTTCCAAAGCAAAGTAGATTTTAATTTCCTTTATATATAAGCCCATCAGCTTTGCAAAGCTGGGTAGGTGATTACAGGATGACATGAAAGGCTGGGGGCCACTTTTAAGGTCTAGAGAAAGTCTTTAGTAGAGAGGAATGAAAATGAGAAGGTGGGAAGAGGGATGGCTGGAAGAACTTGGAGGGTAATTTCTTAAAAGGTAAAAGCCTATGGACTTGGTATTATCAGAAGTCTAGACATTGGTTTTCTGCTTCTGCTTGTTAAATAAGGCCATAAATAAAACCTGTCCTTGGGTGCACGTATAAGATATAGGATTGACTGCTTACTATGTGCCAGGACTGTCCTTTCTTGTTTTTTTCTCTCATTAACTCTTTAGGAAAGATACTGGTGTTATTTTAAGGCCAGTATTCAGTCTTTACATTATTATTTCTATGTAAATATTTACAGCTGATTATTATAGCTTACTATGATTATGCTTCCTTTGTTTTTTCATCTGCTTACTCTTTTTTTGTATCCATTGCATATTCTTTTCATACCTTTCAGTTGTAGAACAGTTTTCCACAAAGTCCCTCTCCTCAGGTCATCCACTGGTTCCAGTTTTTCCCCTCGATTCTCACTTGAACTCACCACAATCAGGCTTTTCCCCACAACATTACCCAGAAGGCTGTTATGAATTACACTAATGAACATTGTGCTACTTCCTGTATCCATTGGTTAATTCTAAATCTTCATCCTACTTGATATCTTTCGTGTAGTTCACATAGCAGCCTTTCACATAGTTGACTAGTTTCTCTTTAAAACATTTTCTTTACTTGGCTTCCAGGATACCACACTCTCCTGGTTTCTCCTGCATTTCACTGGCCATTCATTTTCTGCCTCCTTGGTTTTTTAATGCTCATGTTGGCGTGCCGCAAGGCTCAGTTCCTGGACCTCTTCCCTTTATCCAGACTCCCTTCTTGGGCTCTCATCCATTCTTATGTTTTTAAATATCATTTATATGCCATTATAATTCTGAATTAGATTTCCAGCCCTTAACTCTCTCATAAATGTGTACATCTAGCTGCCAACTCAGCACCTCCACTTGGATGACTCATGAACATTGTAATTTAAAACATTCCCAAACTGAGCTTTCTCTCCCCAGTCTCCCAAGCTGCTGTTCGCATAGTCTTCCCAATTTCAAGAAATGGCAACTGTGTTCTAGTTGCTCAAGGAAAAAAAAAACCTGGTTCATTCTTCACTTTTCTCTCTTTTACGTCCCTAACAGCAAATTCTATCATCTTTACCTTCCAGATACCATCTTTCATCAAACCTAAGAGGCCGCTAATTCTAAATATGTGTATTATGTGCCACTAAGAAAAAGTGTTGTCAAATTATGGCATGTCGTCAATTTTAACATACATCCCAATTTCAGAGATGATAAAGTGTCAAAGATGTGCATCTTTTTGAATCAATAAAATACACTATTTCCAGAATGCAGCCCCTTTTCACCACCTTCACGGCTACCATCCTAGTGTGTACCAGTTATTTCTCATCTGAATATCACAATAGCCTCCTAACTTATATTCCTGCTTCTGCACATGCCCAACCCACCTCCTCCCACCCCAGTGTGTTCTTACAACAGCCAGCGTGTCCCTTTTAAATTGTTAACCAGCTCATGTCAGTCATTAATGTCTGGGAATATTAAGTTTAGAAATATTAAGTCACTTAGTGGAAAAGCCGAAGTCCTCGCGGTGACCTAGAGGGCCCTTCATGATCAGGTTTCCTGTTACCTTTCTGATTGCATTTCCACCTTCAGGTTGCATCTGTCACTTTGCTCTGCTTTAGGGACCTCTCTGGCTGCCTTGCTGTTCCTCAGATGTACCAGACATACCCAGGAGCCTTTGCACTGTCTCCTATCTGGATGCCCTTCCCTTAGATATCCTTGTGACTAACTCCTCACCTTCCTTAGGTCCTTACTCAGGTGTCCCTCTTCAGGGAGGCCTCTCCTGCTTCCAACCCCTAACATACTGTATTCCCATCCTTGCTTCATTTTTCTCTATATCATTTACTACTTTGTGACTATATATATATATATAATTTTGTTTATTGTCCGTTTGCTCACCACTAAATGTAAACTCCACGAGAGTAGGGGTTGGTTTATTTGATTTTTTTCTCACTACATTACCTTCAGAACCTGGAAGATAGTAGGTGCTAAGTAAATGTGTGTTGAATAATTTTAATGCTTCTAGTCTAAACAAGAGGATGCTGATATTGAGTGAGTTAGTGTAAGTGATGTATCATCTGTCTTCGTTCTCAGGATGACCCTTGGTTATGTGAGTGACCATTGGGCACAGTATGTCAGCCACAGTCAAGGTTTGGGACTGGCCCTGCAGCCGTACTCCGCAGAGAAACTACAGGTTGAGTTTGATGAGTTGTTTTTGAGGGCTGTTCTACACGTGCTAAAAGCCAAAAGGTAAGAAGTGTGGTGAAAATTGTTGAGAAATTACGCCCTGGCTAGTGAGAAGATTGGAGTGAAAGTCATTGACTGAAGTAGATCTCTTATAATAATGCCATCTTGTATTTCATCTATTTCTTACTTTGGACAGATTCTTTGGCCTTAGTTTCCTTATCTGTAGTATATCTCCTGCTAACTGAAATGATTTCTCTTTCAGATTTCTTTCCATCTTAAAATACCCTGCTTCTGATGTCTCAGTTTTGCCACCCCTGAGCTTTGGGGTGGCCTCGAGCAGGGGAAAACAGGGATAAATTCTATTACAGATCCAAGTATAGTGCCTATAGTCAGACGTAGTAGGTGCTTAGTAAACGGTACACACAATTTGCTGATTTTATTTTTCAGCTTGTCTTCCTGTAGGATTTTAGAGTCCAGGACTGCCATGGATTCTGGTCCCCTGTCTTTGTTGTATACACAATGTCTTCTGATGACACCATCTTTGCTGCCGCTTACGGTCTAGGATACATTTGAGGCTCAGGCAGGTGCACAGCAGTGTATCCCTCACTGCCTTCTCTGAGCCTCTGGTGAAGTAGGAGCAGATTCTGTAGCAGCACTGCTCCCTCTGCTGGGGGATGTCAGCCAGCCTCTACCCCCCGCAGCTCCACTGATGAATTGCTAGCTCCCCCTCCTTTAACCTCTCCTGAGCTGTCTACACTTCCTCTTGTCATAGTTCTCTTAGTCTCAGCTCCTGATGACTGAGTCTTGGTCTGCCATTTAGTGTTACCTTGGGCAGATCAGTGAATATTTATGGTGTCACTTTGTTCATTTGTAAGATGGAGATGATGGTAATGATACTACCTTTTCCATTGACCTCATGGATATGTTATGAGGATGAATATGTTATGTGGAGATGCTTTTTAAACCATAAAGGACTATTCAAATGTAAGTGATTGTTAGCCTTGTGTGGTTTCAGATGAAAAACAGATTATCTCCTCACTTAGAGAAAGATCAGGGCTTGTTGCCTAACTCTTAGCACTTTTAGCACTCAGTAAGGCTTGGGTCTAACATAAATAGAACTTATGCTTAGAAATTTATCTTTAGATTACTCTTACTGCACATCCTGTAGCGTCCATAAACTTGGTGGTCTCAGGAGGTGCATGCAGTCCTGTGCAGGAGTCTGCCAGGGATTCAGTGTAGCTGTCATGGTGCCAGGGGAGAGCCTCCCATCTCCCATCTCCTGCCATTTGGCCATGTGCTGGTGTAGCTGAGTGGCAGAACTCTTGCTCTAGCTACTCGCTAGCTCTTGCATAGAGAGCCATGAACTCTCTCTATAGCAATATATATGTATTTCACAAAGATGATCATTTGTTTTAAATTTTAAAACGTTGAGAATTATTGTTCTTTTTTATTGTGTGAAAATAACACGCCATTTGCCAGTTCATTATTCTTAAATATAATTTAGTTTAGGAAATATTTAAGAAACAGATATTTAAAGCCAGGGAATTTAAATTTATTTGGCATTCCTGTGGAAATTTCCTTGAGTAGCTGTCCCCCAATTTAAAAACAAATAAAAACATAGACAACACAAACCTAAGTCAAAACTTAACTGTGTGTTTGCCATATAGGGAATTTCATAACCTGAAATATACGCCATTTTATAACATTACTTTTAAGGTCTCTACAATTTTTTTCCAGTGTTTTGGGATCCTTTAAAACAGTGTCAGATCCCATGTGAGGTGTGAGGATAATTAATGAGACAGAAGCCTGGCCCACCTGAGCTTAGAAAAGTTTCTCCATCACTTTCACAGGTGTCTAGCTGTTGCTTTTCTATAGTGGGTTTTGGCCACCAGCAGCCTGCCTAGGTTCCATGGAAGTGGATTAGGCACGCACTATTTAGCTTTTTTTTCTTTTAATAAATGTGGTTTATTTGTAATTGGTCAATTTATAGTTGTACAACAGTTTTGAATGCTTACCTCTTTTTTTTTTCAGATTTTTTTCAAGTTGAGGTAAAATTCACATAACATACAGCTTTATTTAATAAGCATTTATTGAGTTGGTTGTTTTCGAGATACTGGTTTGGGGAGTGGGTAATTAAATTACAAAGCTCTAGGTTACATACTGGTTTATACAAAGATGAACAAGACCTGGTTTCTGCTCCCATATTGCTGGTAGGCTAGTAAGAAGGACATCTGTATACATAAATTGTAGTAACTTTGAGCTGTTTCTTTCACTGTGGTTTAAGGACGACTTGGTGCCAGATCACCTGCTGTGACTCTGGAAAGTGCAAATTCCTGGATCCCAATTGTGACCTACAAAATCAGGATCTCTGTCGATGGGGCTTGGGAATCTGCATTTTTCACAAAGTCTCCAGGTGATTTTTCTGCCCACTACAGTGTGAGAAACACTGGTAAAAGGCAGGATAATGCCAGACTCAGGTATGGTGGAAGTTCTGCAGTAGTGCTGAGGGGGAAATCAGAGGAGGGCCTCATCAGTGGAGGGACATCAGCATGGAGGCAGGGGGTTCTAGGAGGCTTGTTGGAATAGCCTCATATTCTGAGTGCAGAGAGGGCTCTGGTTGGAAGTATGGGTCAGAGATATATTTTGGAAGCCTTTGGATGCTGGACTGAGGAGTTTTAGCTTCACTCCGTGGTCAGTGAGGCGTCACTGCAGGGCTCTTGATTCTCTGCAACCCACTGCACGTGTGTATGTGTGCACATGTGTACCTGTAGGTGTGCTCACACAGTCATGTCTAAATAGCAGCCTCTCTGTCAGCCAGGTCTTAAAAAGGATCTTTGGTTCAAAACCCAGCTCTGCCTCTTAGTGCCCTCTCTGTGCCTTAGTAGCCTCATATGTAAATTGAGGATAATATCAGTAATAGTACTTGCCTCAGGGCTTTAATGAGAATGGAATGAGTTGATCTGTCTGTCCGTGTATCTATCCATCCATCCTGTCTCTCTATCCATCCTATCTCTCCTGTCTATCCTATCATCTATTCTATACCCTACCTACCTACCTACCTACGTACCCACCCACCCTACCCAGCCCACCCATCCAACCCACCCACGCCACCCGCCCAGCCCACCCTACCCATCCTACCCACCCTATCTATCTACATACTCTACCTCCCTCCTACCTCTTGTAATTAGAACAGTACCTGGTACAGAGTAAGTGCTCCCTGAGTATTCACTGTTACTGTTATTCACACCTGAGGTGTTTAACATGACAGAAGCATGTTAAAAAAATTGCTCTAGTGTGGTTTAAGATTTTTTTCTATGATACAGCCGAAAGTTTGTCTACTTTCTCAGTGTGGTCAAGCTGACTAATATATACAATTATTCCTGATCTTTTTAAAACATGCAGACTTGGCATTTGGCTGTTTATGTCTGAGATGCCCTTTGGGACACTGTCGGTCCAGATGCTGTGGAAGCTCTTCTACCTCATGCACCAGGCAGAGAGCGGGAGCTTGGAGCAGCTCTGCGCCACCCTCCAGCCTGCTGAGTGCAAGAAGCAGCTCCAAGGTATAGCCTCGCCTGGCCTGGTATTTTAAAACATGGGGAACAGCCATTTTTTTCTGCCTTTATGTATTTTCCCTCTTCATTGCTTTTTTCTTTTTACTTTTAGAATGACTAAGAGAGAGTGTTTCACTCTGTGTACTCACGCATGATGATTTTGAAATTTGAGAGACTGCTTAGTTGTTTTGGTTTATTAGATAGCAGCAGGCGTATCTTAAATCTAAATTTGATTAGTCTCAAACAGAGTGTCAGTAAACACAACGTTCTAGCTTTTAGGAAGCACCTTTTTGGGTTTGTGTGTGAAATTACCCTTTCTTTAAAATTTAATTAACAAGTATGTGTTGATTGTCTAGAAATTTGTTCAGGTTTTTTTCCCAGTTATTCCAATAATAACTCTTATAGCTTTTTATTTTTAAGTTGTATTTTTTTAATCAGCTAAGTAAAGATATAGACAGGTGTACTTAAAAAAAAAAAATTTTGGTGAAAACTTGGTAAGCTTTAATGTGCCATTACTCAACAACAGAGTATTTGTTTTGGTTATAATGTTAAAAACAAAAACAAAAAGACTGTTTAATTGGATGTCTGTTATAATTATTTTTAAGAATCACCTATACATTAAAAAAAAAGAATCCTGGTGGAAAATACCAAAATGCTAGTAGGATTTTAAAAATACCAAGAGAAAATTCTTTTTTCTGTTTAGATCGATATTTTCTATTCACTTGACTTTGACTTTTCAGAGCTTTTGCCATATCTTCTTCCACCTTAATGGTAATGTTTTAAAAGCTAATTAGGAAGTTTTTTCCCTTTCCCATTTGTTCTTTTTATAAATTTTTTAAAACTGTAAGGCCTGTCCCTTGATACGTACCTTGCAGCATTGTAAGTTAGAATGATAATTCCAATTTTCTATATTCTGGGAGTGCTCTGTACTAATTTCTGTTTTAAACCTAGTTTGGGGATGGGAAATGCAAATTGGTTTGGTAAGTGCCACATGGAAGTTATTTTGAAAGTAGAGGAAGTTTGATGAACTACTTTTGATTTCTCAAATTTGTATGCACATGAAAAGAGTTGTTGGCTTGTTGTGTTTTTATTGTAAATAGTTTCATCAGGGGAATTCCCCCCCCCCACCCAAACCTCACCTCCGTTAAACATTAAATTTGGCCTTTGTTTTCTGTCATGTATTGCAAAGTTTGTTCATACTGCCACCTACTGACAAAATATAATATTGCTTACATAGCATCCTTTGACAAATAGGCAAAAGACATAATTATTGTGTGTTGTTGAGTCGATTCCAACTCATGGTGACCGTATAGGACAGAGTAGAACTGCCCCATAAGGTTTCCTAGGCTGAAGTCTTTTTGGGAGCAGATCACCAGGTCTCTTCTGTGGAGCCACTGGTGGGTTCGAACTGCCCACCTTTCGGTTGGCAGTCAGCTGGCCACCTTTCGGTTGTCAGTCAGCTGGCCACCTTTCGGTTGGCAGTCAACTGGCCACCTTTCGGTTAGCAGTCGAGTGCTTAACCATTGCACCTTATTGTTAATTACATTTATCAGTATTTCAGTCATGGTTATAACTATAATTCTTGCCCCAATCTATTTTGTTTTAAATCTCATGTTTGTGCTGAGTAGTTTGCTGGTCTTGGCAGTTTCATTCACTAAGATCTTCATTCATTTGTCTGACAGTTATCAAGTAGCTTCAGGGGTGCCTGGTACTGGTAGTACTGCCTTCAAAGACGTCTCAGCTAATGACAGTGATAGTGCTTCCCAGTTAAAGAAAGCACTGACCAGTGACAAGTCACTTAATCTTATTAAGTAACCTTTTGAAACAGTTGGGGAAACGAAGGCTGGAGATGTTAAATGTTTCCTGAGACTACATTATACCTAGAGTTTTTAGGAATCTCAGAGGCCATCTGGTCCAGCCTTTTTCCTAAAATCCATTCTACATGCCTGTAGAAATCCATTCTGGAGAAAAGAAAGACCTTTTGTATCTTTAAGTATTTCTAAACGTCTCTTAACATTGTATCCTTTTTCTGTCTGGTAGAGTAATTTGAACTGATATAAATTTACTTTTTCCTTTTTAATTTTCTTGATATAAACTTGCAGACCCAGAGCATTTTGTGAACTTTGAGAAGTGTCTTTCTTCCATGAATAGCTCAGAAGAGATTTGCCTTCTGACTACATTTGCTCAGATGGCACAGGCCAGAAGAACCAACGTGGATGAAGACTTCATAAAAATTATTGTTCTGGAGATATATGAGGTTAGAATATTAAGTCTTATAAATAAGCTAAAAATGTTTTCTTTTGGGCTGTCCATTCATTGATTCTTTTGGTTACTTTTTTTTAAAAAAAGTAACTTCCTAGCTATTGTCTACACTTATGGAAGGAGATAAAGAATCAAAGGAACATCATTTTGCTATAAAACCAAAAAAAACCCATTGCTGTCGAGTTAATTCTGACTCACAGAGACCCTATAGGACAGAATAGAACTGCCCTATAGGGTTTCCAAGGAGTGCCTGGTGAATTCGAACTGCCGACCTTTTGGTTAGCAGCTATAGCTCTTAACCACTATGCCACCAGGGTTTCCTCATTTTGCTATAACCAAACCAAATCAAACCGTCGCTGTCAAGTCATTTCTGACTCATAGCAACCCTATAGGACAGAGTAGAACTGCCCCATAGGGTTCCCAGGGAGCGCCTGGTGGATTCGAACTGCTGACCTTTTGGGTAGCAGCCATAGCTCTTAACCACTGTGCCACCAGGGTTTAGGGAGTGTTAAAAACATGAATTACACTCATTTCATTTACCCCTATCTCTTGCAATTTGGTAGTTGAGTTTTGGTAAGGAATAGACAATCCGTAATCATGCATGAGGTTAAGGTCTAGATGGATCTGGAATTCCAGACTATGTTTATGGTCTGAAAAAATTGGGGAGAGAATATATACTTTATATGCATGAAATGACATGCTTAAGTTCCTTTGCTAAAGTAATAATTTATGCTCTTAACTAATGTTTTAAATGTTTTTTTTTCTATTCTTTTTTTTTTTTATTGTACTTCAGGTGAAGGCTTACAGAACAAATAGTTTCTCATGAAACAGTAGTACACATGTTGTTTTATGACATTGGTTAACAACCCCACAACATACTAACCCTCTAACTTCTCAACCTTTTTTTTTTTTTGGTGAAAATACACATAGCCAAAGATACACCATTTCAAAAATTTCTACATGCACAGTTCAGTGACATTGACTATGCTCTTCCAATTGTGCTGTTATTCTCACTTAAGAGGAAGGCTTACAGAACAAAATAGTTTCTCATTTAGCAGTTACTACAAATGTTGCCCTGTGACAGTGGTTAACAATCTCACAACACATCAACAATATCCTTACTCAACCTTGGGTTCCCTATCACCAGCTTTCTTGTCCCCTTCTGCTTTCTAGCCCTTGTCACTGGACTCCTGTACCTCGTTAGTCTCATTTGGTTTTATGGGGCTGTCCCCTCCCAGGCTGAACAGTGAACCTCGGAGGTAACTTCACCACTGAGCTAAAAGGGTGTCTGGGGGCCATACTCTCGAGGTTTCTCCAGTCTCCTTTAGGCCAGTAAATCTGGTCTTTTTTTTGTGAGTTAGAATTATGCTCTACATCCTTCTCCAGCTCTGTCCAGAACCCTCTGTTGTGATCCTGGTCAGAGCAGTCAGTGGTGGTAGCCGGGCACCACCTAGCTGTACTGGACTCAGTCCGGTGGAGGCCTTGGTAGCTGTGGTCCATTAGTCCTTCGGACTAATCTTTTCCTTGTCTCCTGTTCTCTTCATTCTCCCTTGCTCCCGAAGGGATGAGACCAGTGGCGTATCTTAGATGGCCGCTCCCAGGCTTTTAAGACCCCAGACACTACTCACCAAGGTAGAATGTAGAGCATTGTCTTTATAAGCTGTGTCATGCCAATTGAGCTAGATGTTCCCTGAGACCATGGTCCCCACAGCCCTCCGCCCAGCAATTCAGTCCCTCAGGGAGTTTGGATGTGTCTATGGGGCTTCCATGACCTTTTCTTGTACAGGTTGTGCTAGTTTCCCCTGTATTGTGTACTGTCTCACCCTTCACCCAAGATACCACTTATCTATTGCCTATTTAGTATTTCCCCCCCACCCTTCCCATCCCTGGTAACCAACAAAGATTGTTAAATTTTGTATGTGAACTTTTTCATGGGTTTTTACAATAGAGGTCTCATACAATATTTGTCCTTTTGTGATTGACTTATTTCACTCAGCATAATGTCCTCCAGTTTCATCCATGTTATGAGATTGTTTTAAATGTTTTTGACCAGAATGCACAGTAAAAATTACATTCTACATTGCATTCTGAGTATGTGTGTACGCGTGCACGCGTGTGTGTATGTAATTAAAGCAATACTTAATCTTAGTGTGATGTGCTCTCACATTTTTCTATTCTGCACTGTTATTTTCCTGTTCTGTTTCATTGTATTTAAAAAATGCTGGTCATTGGCATTAATGGGTTGCAGCCTATAGTTTGAGAGACATTGTTCAGGAGGAGTTGGTGAACACTGATATTTTAGAAGCTTTGTAGCTGAGTATCTTATTTTGTAGGAGAGATGAATTCAGTTTTCATCATTATAGTGATTTCCTCAAGTTGAGAGACATTTTGAGAACAAAAGCGCGGTTTATTGCTACTTACAAACTTTGGGGTATACCTTCTGGGTCCGTTACTTGAAGTCATTGTAACAAACACATAGTTGTCTTTCTCCTCTACTTCTCCTCTCATCTTCTAGCCTTCAGGGTAGACAGTTTTATGTCTGAAGTTCTGACATATGTTCGGACATGCTGTGCTCAGTGAGATTCTTTCTGCTTTACTTGAAAACATCCTAAATAAATTATGGAAATGTGCTTTGACTGATTATTGTCATTAAAAGTAACTTTTTTTTTTTTTTTTTGCCTTTTTAGGTGTCTTACCTCACCTTGTCCACTAGAGAGACTTTTTCAAAGGTTGGCCGAGAGCTTTTAGGAGCCATCACAGCTGTTCACCCTGAGATCACTTCTGTTATTTTGAATAGAGTTCAAGAGACCATTGATCAGGTTGGAATGGTAAGAGCACTGATTTTTTGTTTGTTTGTTTTTAAATGCTGAAGTAATGGAATAATGGAAAAGATAGGAAAGTTGTTGGGAATGGCTGGTCACTTAAGGGCCCAGCAGGGTGATTTGCCTATTCTGGACTTTTCATATAAACAGAATCATGTAATATATTTTCTTCTGTGTTAGCTTCTTTCACTTACCATAATGTTTTCAAAATTTAATCCATGTTGTAGCCTATATCAGTACTTCACTCCTTCTTATGCCCAAATAATATTCCATTGTATGGGTATACCATTTTAAAAAAGATATGCTTGATGAGGATTTTGTAGTAAGGCTATAAGATTACCCAAAATGTAGGCTATAACGTGTGAGTTCTTCTAGTGGCAGGCAGTCATACTTCATAATCTCAAAAGGAGTGTTTAAAGTGATAGTATTTCTCTCTGAGCTTATATTTGCAAAGGGCTCTTCTGTCTTGTAGTCACTGCATCATCCCTGGTTTGAACCCACCCAGAGGCACCTCGGAAGAAAGGCCGGGTGATCTGCTTCCAGTGGGTCACAGTCATAGAAACCCTATGGAGCACAGTTCTACTCTGACATACATGAGGTTGCCATGAGTTGGAATTGACTCAACAGCCACTAGTTACTGGTTATACTTTGTAACCATGTGTTGTGAAATGAATATCTGCTCTTGATTTATCATGACTTTTAATTTGGGTCTTAGTTTGGTGGTTTTCCTAAAGCTGAAGTGTACCAATTTACGTATGAAAAAATTGACCTTTACAAAGGATTGCAAAAATGTGCTTTTGGTGTATCATCAGGTTTAGTTCCTATTTGATTTAGTTGTCCACAGTTGCCATTTCACTTGTCTGGAAACCAAACAAAACCCCACCCACTTCCTTTTGGGGAAAAATTTTTGCAAGCTATTTAATAATGTAGTACTGTGGTAATATAGGATTGTCCCTAAATCTTGATTTTAATTACTGTTTTCTTTTTAATAAGGTTTCTTTATACTTGTTTAAAGAATTGCCTTTATATCTTTGGCGACCTTCTACCTCCGAGATAGCTGTAATTCGGGATTGGTTACTGAATTATAACCTGACAGCGGTCAAGAATAAACTGGCCTGTGTTATTCTAGAAGGACTGAATTGGGGATTTGGTGAACAGGTATGTGTTGAAACCATTTCCTGGAGATTAGGTTCTGTACACATCAGTTTCAAAGAACCATTTTCTCAAAACATTAGCCTCTGAAATTATCATTTGCAAGGTCTGCAGATTCTTTTAGCTGTGTCAGAGTTTAGGATCGTCTCTTTAATTTTGTTTTGCAAAGCAAGCATTCTCTTAAATGTAGATAAATTGCTCCACACTGAAAATTCTTCCATTTGTCCTTAGACCACTTGCATTTGTGGTTTTATCTCTGGCTGTTTACTGCAGTTCCTCCTATTTGCTCTCCTGCTTCTGGTTCCGTTTCCTTCTGCAATTTGTCTTGTATGTCATTGCCAGACTTGTCTTACGAAGCAATGCACATTGGTGAAGAGCCTGAGTGCAGAGCCAGGCTGCCTGGCTTCTGATCCTGGCTTGGCCACTTTCTAGCTGTGTGACCCTGAGCAAGCTTCCTGAACTCTCTGGGCCTCAGTTGTTCACCTGTAGACCCACCTCATGGTATTGTTGTAAGGGTTCAAAAAATTAGGACAAGTAAAACAATTAGGACAGTATTGGCACACATTAAGTACTCAGTAGGGGCAGTTATAACTAATAATAGTTTATTATTATTAGGGGTTTGCCTCCATTTCTTCAGGCTGTAAAGGAAGATTGGATGGAAAATTGGGTAGCAATTTCAACCTGTATTGTTGAACACTTACTTACTTTCACTGATGATAGAACAAGAAAAGGGAATGTAGACTTAATTTATTAAACATCTTCCTGGCTTATGGCAATGCCCTTAACTTACAACCCAAAATCTTTATGGAGATTTTGCTTTGGGTTGGAGTGGGGGTTAAATCGAAAGATACTTTTTTTGTCTGGGATGGTGGGTGAATAAGGCTCAAACGTATCTAGGTGCAATATAATCGTTCTTTAAAGATTTCTGTTTTTTTCCCATTGTCATTTTATAACTTCACTGTTAAGGGATGTGATTTTTGGAAAACTTGGGTTCTGCATCCAAGATCTTCTCTTACTGTTCTGCTTAATCTTTTAGTTCAAAGGTACAAAAAACCCAACGTGGTATACCTGTGGTTATTTTTCTTTTTAAAAGGGTGTCCTTCATCTGAATCAAGCAGTCCATGCTGAAGTGGCTCTAATGGTTCTTGAAGCTTACCAGAAGTACCTTGCACAGAAGCCATATGCGGGGCTTCTTTCTGAAAGTATGAAGCAGGTATTTCCCTCTCTTATGTATTGAGAACATAAAGCTTTATTGATAAAGGGCATGAGTGGATAAAGTATTGACTCCTAGGTTTCCTAAGACCATTTTTGGCAACTTAAGATGTTGAAATTGAGTTCTATGATTGACAAAGATTTTTCTTTAAGAAGTAGCCTTTATGCGACCATTTTCATGTTGTATAATTTGAGTTCAGCTACGGTGGTTTTCGGGAGCTGGCTTGTGTTGGCTCAAAAGAACCAATTGTTAAATTTTTGGGAGCTTTGAAAGCTGGTTGTCAAACTGTTGATAGCTTGAAATTGGCCATGGTGGGAGTTTTTACACCACCAAAATTAGCAAACGCCTCCCCGCAACTGGTAGTTAAATGTATTTACCAGCACACCATTGAATGGGTATCAACTTTTACATCATTTCCTTTTTGCTTAAGCTGACTCATATAAGGTTCACAAAGTGACTAGCAAGTAAGTGGAAGTGGTTGGTTGTACGTGAGAAATTTTTTTAAAAATTTTATTTATTTTGTTGAGGATTCATACAGCAAAACATACATCAATTGAGAAATTGCTTTAATGCAGTACATCAAACATTACTTGAGGGACAGTAAGTAGTATATTCCTCTTTTGAGGACTTTGTAGGTCATAAGAGGAGACGGGTGGGTGAGCTCACTGATTTATATGTGACTAATGTGGTTTAAAATAAATAATTGTTTTAGGTTTCATATTTGGCCAGTATTGTTCGTTATGGAGAGACACCTGAGAGCTCATTTAACCAATGGGCCTGGAGCTTGATCTTGAGGTTAAAATTGCATAAAAATGATTACGGAATGCAGCAGAATTGTCCAACTGTTCCCTTCTCCAGCACTGTCCCTGACATGACAGAGTCACCCACGTTTCATCCTCTCTTGAAGGCTGTGAAAGCGGGCACGCCCATTGGCTGTTATCTCGCCCTGTCCATGACGGCCGTGGGCCACAGGTACGGTGTTTAGGTTGAACCTGGAGGGTTGCTGAACATTGTTGTAGTCAGTGGTTCTAGGATCTCATCTTTCGCATCCCATGGATCTGAGGCCTTCATCAAATCTAGGGATAATTGGGGCCACATAACAAGGTTTTATTAATAGCTTATCAAGGGGAAATGCTGCCCTAATTCACATGAGACAGATTTGTAGCATCATCTCACCTTATTACATTATGATGAGAGTTATATCTATCACCTACGGTGGAATGTTCTAATAGTCATAATCATGAATATAAAACTTTGTGTTTTTCTTCTCTAATCATTATAGCATAATCAGTTTTTCATGTTGCCCTTGGCCATTATACGTGCCATTTTAAAAGGATGCAATAATATTCCTATTGAATGTATTTTTCCAAAATTAACTTGTCATTCCTGCCTGAGTTTTGTGATTATAAGTAATTCTTGGAAAGTGCATCTTTATCTGGATCATCTTTCATATTTTTTTCCATATATGAGATTGTTTCTTAAGGATAGATTGTGTGAAGCGAGCCAAAGGATAAGCAGATTTTTATGCTGGTTTACACTGACAGATTGAGCTAACTTTGGAATCTTCTCTTTGCTTTAATATCTTGTGGGAATATCTTTACAAGGAGAGCCCGTTGGAAGCACCATCTGAGAAACAATATGGCATAGTAGGAAGTGCTCTGGACTAGAAATGTGCAAACTCGAGCTCTCATTTTGAACCTAAACTAACCATTTATGTGAATTTGGGTACAACACTTCACCTCCTAGTCTCATTTTTCTCATCTTTAAAAAGAAAATATAGATGAAATTTTAAGTTTGGTCTTAGTCATCAAGAAGCCCTGGTGGTACAGTGGTTAAAATGCTTGTCTGCTAACCGAAAACTAGGTGGTTCAAACCCACCAGCTGCTCCGCGGGAGAAAAGATGTGGCAGTCTGCTTCTGTAAAGATTTACAGCCTTGGAAACCCTACAGGGCAGTTCTACTCTGTCCTACAGGGTTGCTATGAGTCGGAATTGACTCGACAGCAGCAGGTTTGCATTTGGTTGGATATTAGTTATCTAGTGCTGCTATAATAGAAATACCACAAACAGGTGGCTTTAACAAACAGAAATTTATTTTCTTACACTTTGGGAGGCTAGAAGTTCAAACTCAGGGTGCCAGCTCCAGGGGAAGGCTTTCTTTCTCTGTCAGCTCTGGAGGAAGGTCCTTGTCTTTTTGAGCTTCAGCTCCTGGGTGATCTTTATGTGGCTTGGCATTTCTCTTTGCCTTTTTCTGCTTACTAGCTTGCATTTAATCTCTTTTACATCTCAAAAGAAGTTTACTCCAGATACACTCTACACTAAACCTGCCTTATTAACATAACAAAGACAACTCATTCCCAAATGGGATTATAACCATAGGCATAGAGGTTAGGATTTACAGCACATATTTTTGGGGGACACAGTTCAATCCATATCAAGTTCCTTTCTACTTCCAGAGTTCTGATTCTAATATTCTTATGTGAAAATTGGGTACGCAAAAATATATTGGAGACCTGAGGTAATCCAGGTAGCATGTAGGCTGATAGGTCATCATAAGGACATCGTTTTATGAACAGGCCATGTTGTATCTTCATTGCCCTTTCCTTTTTCCATAGCATTGAGAAATTCTGTGCAGAAGGCATTCCACTGTTGGGAGTTCTGGTCCAGTTGAGGCATTTGAGAACAGTGGTCCATGTTCTGGACAAGATTCTCCCTTTGTTCTACCCTTGCCAGTATTACCTTCTGAAGAATGAGCAGTAAGTATCTCCATCTGTGGCAGGGAACATTCTTTGGAGAACAGCCCAGCAAGTGCAAATGGCTATGACTTCTGGTTTCTCAAGTGAAATATAGGGAATTGATATTTCAATAGTGTATATTTTATGAGGTAGAAAAGTTGCTGTATCCCAATTTAGAATTCAGGTTATTAGGTTATGCCAGTTTTATTATCATGAAAGCTGTTTTCCTTTATAATTTAATTTTGAATTGCTTAAAACTTATTAGTGTTTGAAGAATCAGTTATTTCCATTAGATTCTGGGAATAGTGCCCTTGACGTTGAGCAGAAAATGACTATGTCATTGTAACAATAGCAAAACAGATTGATTTCAAATGCCTGAATTATTATGCATAGTACAGTATTTTACAAGTGGTTAATTTACACAGGAAGGTGCTCATCCATGAGACACTTATAATCTTGTTGGGAAAATAAGACATTTGGGGTGATATCAGTTCTATAACAAAATATTGGGAAGACCATGCTATGGTGTATAGATTGTATTTGCATTATATGGCAAAATTGTTGTTGTTGGGTGCCATCAAATTGATTCTAATTCATAGTGACCCCATGTGATAGTAAAACTGCCCTATAGGGTTTCCTAGGCTATAATCTTACGGGAGCTGATCGCCAGGTCTTTTCTCCCATGAAGCTGCTGGTGGATTTGACCGCCAACATTTCAGTTGGCAGCCAATTACACCACTCAAGCTTCTTTCTAAGAAATCGGGTTTAGAAGGGTGGAGGGAGCCCCGGATATTTTACCACTGCAGTGTCAAAGAACGCAACAGCGGTGTCTCAGCAGGGACCAATGGGACCTCCTTATCTTAGACTCGTGCCCCGTTGCCTGGAACTTTAGAGCTGATTCCGTGTCTAGAGACTGCCAAGTAAGGATATTTTAGAAATTCAAGGAGTTGGGTCAGAAAGTACTGAGCCCAGGTGAAACATTTGTGATTGGAATCCCAGGAGTGAACTCTAGCTGGAAGATACTGGAAGATGGAGAAGAATGAGATTCGACTGAAAGAGGAGGTAGAAAAGAGAAAGGAGTCAGCCAGGAGGTGGCTCTGAGATTTCCCTGCAACCTCCCTCCACGCTGTTTTCTCCGGTCTTCATAGGTGGTCTTTAGGATGGAGAACCCAGGACTAGGGAGCTCTAAGTTTCTCTAAAGTCACAGAGGTGCCAGTTGCCATTGCACCAGGGAGATACACCTTCTTGTAAAAAGAAAAGAAAAAGGAACAAAATCTGCTTCCTGCAGCGATGTTACAAAAAGCTATTAAAAAAACTGTTCTAATTGAAATTAGTATTCACAAGTAGTTAAAAACATCACTTATCAGAAATTTTTTTTTAAACAAAAACTTTAGCTCAGGTTATTGGAGTTGATTGCCTTAAAAAAAATAGACATGTGATTGTCCACATCCGTTGTACCCTGATAGCAGCCCTATAGCTCATGCTCACACAAATGAGGAGAAGCCAGTGAGCAGTGGAGAAGCCAATGAGCAGCATGTGAGCACCGGGCTCCAGGCCTGGGGGCATGTAGACGCCACTTGAGCTCTGCATGGTGACCGCTGTCTGGAAGCAGGGTGCACACTCACCCGCCTGGCACTCCTCATAGTGGTAAGGCACCGTGGCCTTGCTGCCAGGGTCTGGTGCTTCCAGGAATTGTTGTAGGTAGGGTCACTCATGTAGTGGTTGATGAAGGAGTGCTTGGGCAGCTCATCTTTGTAGTCAGAGTTGGTGGCCTTGGACTCGGCTGTGTCCAAGGACTTCTCCTTGAGGTTCATGCTCCTGGTCAGCATGGCCCCATTTTTCTTGCTGCAGATGTCCTTGTCTGAGTAGCGCAGCCTGCCCTGACTGGGCTGAGGAAGGGAACTGGTCCCATTTTTCTTGGAGAAGGTACACTTGACATTAAGGTGGTGGTGGTGGTTTTCCAGGGCAGCAAATCCTCCACTGTCTAGGATCATGGACCCCTCCATGTTGGAGATGCTCTTACCTGTGCTGCAGTTCTTGTATTTATTTTGTCCATGCAAGATCAGGGCAGAGACCACCAGTAGGATGATAATCAGGCTGGAGAGTGCCACCACCAGGAGGAACCACCACTCTGTAGAACAGGGCTTCCACTTGGGTGTTTTTGGCCTAGACTCTGTCTGCAGCCATCCGGTGCCTCTCTGCTCCCCTTGTGGTTCTAGTTCTTTTTCTAATACACCTTCACATTACTGTTCTTCAACCCACCCTTCACTTAACCCCAGACAGCAAGTAAAATTACGTGGAGTTTATGGTAAAAGAAATAGCTGCTTGAGGAGGGAGGGAGGGAATTAGGGATGGGATGTTAATTAAGATTTTCGATTGCATGGTGAAAACCCAATACAGACTAGTGTCGCCAAGAAGGGAATGTATTGGCTCATGTGATTGGAAAAGAGAGAACTTAACTCTGACAGAGTGGGATTCAGAAGCTTCTAATAACGTTAGGTCAGTCTAGAGCAGTGGTTCTCAGCCGGGGGTGATTTTGACCCTAGGGGACATTTGGTAATGTTTAGAGACATTTTTGGTTGTCACAACCAAGTAGGAGTGGTGGTATGCTATTGGTATTTAGTGGGTAGAGGCCAGAGATGCTGTTTAACATCCTTCAGTGTACAGTATAGCCCCCAAAGCATTAGTGGACCCAAAATGTCAGTAGTGCTGAAGTTGAGAAACCCTGGACTAGTGTTTCTCTTTCTCTCTCTTTATCCCCTGTCTCAAGTCCTTTGGCCCTGCTTCTCTTCTCTCTCTTTTTGGCTTTCTCCTGCAGGTGTACTTTTTCCCTGAGAATGAGGTGCCTGGATACAGAGAGAACTAGGTGTCATCCTAATTCCGTTTGGGAAAGACAGACTATTTATGTCATTGCTCTTATAAAACAATCCCTGCTTGGTCCGACTTAGATCACGTGCTCTCCCTGGGCCAGTCTCTGTGTCCATGGGATTGACCAGTCCTGAGAGGAAGGTGGACGGGGATTCTGTATTGAGAGCCCCTGCCTCCCAGAATTCTATAGCATGGGGGAGGGCCAGTCCCACTAAGGAAAGGTTGTACAGTTATTAGAAAGGAGAAAGAGAATGTAGGGTGAACAGAAGCAACAAATGGCCCTACAAAGAAGACTTTATGGAAGAGGTGGATCTCTGTTTGAGCTTTGAAGGGTGTGTACACTTTGGGCCAGTGGAGAGGAGCAGGCAGGGCAGGGCTTTTTCACTCTTGGTAGGGGGTTGAGAGGAGAGTTTAGAGGGGCCAGGCTGGGACTTAGCATGAGTGAAGGCATAGAGGTGGAAAGAGAACCATCCATCCAGGGAGCAGGGAGGAGATCACCTGTAGGGACCTCATGAAGAGTGATGGGCGGGGGGCAAGGTCAGATGTAGAGGAGCCCTTGATAGGTGGGTGAGGGGACAGACAGAATATCCAAGGGCCCAAGGGGAACATTACAGGGGCCATTTTTTAAAGGAGTGTGCCAAACCTGCCTGATGATGAGAATCACATGGGCGAGCTTGTTAAATAAGAATTTTTCAGTCCCTCCCCTGGAGATTCTGCTTTAGTAGGAATTGGGTGGGGCCTGAGAACCTTTTTTTTTTTTTCTTTAAATAAGCACCGAGGCACCCGGCAAGTCTGGGAATGCTGTCATCTGGCCAGTACACTCCCACGCACACACACAAAAACAAAACCTGTTGTTGTCGAGTCAATTCCAACTCATAGTGACCCTATAGGACAGAGTAGAATTGCCCCATAGGGTTTCCGAGGAGCAGCTGGTGGATTCAAACTGCCAACCTTTTGGTTGGCAGCCTGAGCTATTAACTGCTGTGCCACCAGAGCTCCCTGGCTAGCACATATGTCCTTATTCCATCATTTACTAGTGTGTGAATACAGGCAAGTTCCTTAACTTTTCATATCCTCCATTTCTTCATTTGTATCATGGGATAATACCACCTCTCGTATAGGATGAGTGTAAGGGTTAAATAGTATTGTGATTTTTTAGACAATATTTTAAAATTGGATGTAATGGTCTATAATGTTTTTTCTCTGATTGTTAAATTTCAAGCAGTGGAGACTCTTTCCAGGTCCTGTTCTCTGAACTCTTACAGCACTTTACTGGTACCTTTCCTGCTGTAACTTTTCCTCTATTCTGGAGTGGTTTGGGCCTATATCTGTGCCTCCTGTGAAATAAGAAGTGCCTTCATTCACCAGTCACAACTGCTTATTGAATCCTGCCACACAGGGGACAAAGCAGGCCCTGGCTCTGCCATGAGACACGTAGGAAGTTACTGCCTCCTCAGAATGTACTTACCAATTTTAAGAACTGTGAAGGAGCACGACGGTGCTGTGAGAGAGGCTGATGAGATAGATGTATTTTAGATGAGGGGTGGTTAGGAAGCACGCTCTGAGGAAGGGACATTGTAGGTGAAACATGAGGGATGAGTAGGAGTTTGCTAGGTTAAGTGTGGGGGAAAGACTGTTTTAGGCAGAAAACCCAGCAGAAACAAAGGCACTGAGAGAGGAGAGAGCCCAGAGCACCCAGGGAATTGAGGTCTTCACTGTGATGGTATCCCTCATAGTGCCCCATACACCACCTTGTATAAAGTTGACACCCAGTAAAAGTTTACTGAATGATTTTAAAATACCTCCGCTTTTATTGGTGGGAGTGGTGGAACACAGTTTTAGGGGTTTTTCCTCTCATACTCTTTAACTTGGATGTGTTTGTGTGTTGTGGATCTGCTCACTACACTTCTACAGGTAGGCAGAATTCCTTTTAATTTAACCCACATTTATATTTGAAAACTTTATCCCTCTGAAATTCCTGAAGATATATATTAGAAACTGTACATAGAGCTTCGGTCTAAAAACGGGATCTATTTAAAATTTTTCTGTTACCTTACAAGTAATGAGACACTGGAAATTCTGTTGACTCCTGATTGGAAAGTAAAGTGTGTCATCCTGTGTGCTTGGCAGGTTTTTGTCACATCTCCTCCTGTTCCTGCACTTGGACAGTGGCATCCCTCAGGGCGTGACACAGCAGGTCACCCACAAGGTGGCACAGCACCTGACGGGAGCCAGCCACGGGGACAACGTGAAGCTTCTCAACAGCATGATCCAGGTCAGGGCCCTAGCAAGCCCCTAAACACACTCTCACCCATCTTCCCAACCAGAAGCTTCTAGTGTTAACACATTTATGTTTGGGTCATTTCAAAACTTGGCATGGCATACTTGGCCAAGAAGGTTAACAGATTCAAGCTTTGCAGCAGAAGTCAGTGTTGTTTTGTTGGTATTTTAGAAATGTGGGACAGTGGGAGATTGGAGGCTGGTTATTACCCGTCACATCACCTGAGCCTTTTCTCCACAGGCGCACATATCTGTAAGCACTCAGCTCAATGAAGTGGGCCCCATTGCTGTGTTGGAGTTCTGGGTTCAGGCTCTTATAAGCCAACATCTTTGGTACCGAGAACAACCCATCCTCTTCCTCATGGACCACTTGTGTAAAACAGCTTTTCAGCTGATGCAGGAAGACTGTGTACAGAAATTACTTTACCAGCAACATAAGGTAAGCCTGTTAGAGAAGTTGTCATTCAGTCACTGAAAGGCTCCATTGTAGCCTTCTAAAAAGGTTCACCAAAATGCACAGTTCTCAGTACTGCCTGGTGGCCACTGCCTTTTTTTACACTTAGTCCTACTCATGACTTATGTCAATAACCACAGTCCACTAGCACAGAGCCCAGTGAAGTCAGAAGAAAGAGCACCCCAGGAAGAGCCAGCTCACTCCATCTTGCTGTAGTGCACTGGCTGGGACTATCGCTGCTGGTGGGCTTATTATAGAAATCCATGTCTTATTAGAATCTTCTACTGTAGTAAGACAAATGCTGATATACTTGAAAAGATCATTGGTAGGTTTTTTGTTAAAGTCTCTCTTTGCCCCACGTCTTTTGCCGGAGTAGAATGCTTTGGGCTACCACTGTGACCGGAGTCTGCTGTCTTCTTTCGTGAGCTGGATCGTGGCTGGCAACATCACTCCTTCCTTCGTGGAGGGCTTGGCCATGCCCACTCAGGTAGGAAACCCACCAAGAAAAGGGTGGTAGGACTCTTTGTTATCTTTGTGAAGTTTAATATTACCATCCTTGCTAATAAATTCCTAATAGCCTAAAATCACTAACATTTATTTAGCACTTACCATGTGTAAGTGCACCTTTTCATTTGATCCTCACAACAGCCGTCTGCTGAAGTTGTGTTATTGCCATTCCTGTTTTACAGAGGTGTTAACCGGAATTTAATGAGGTTCAGTGGCTTACTCAGGCTCAAACAGCTTGTAATCAGACTCCAGTCTGCCTGACTGCAGAGCCTGACAGCAGAGTGGTAAAGAGTGTGGGCCCTGGAGCCAGATGGCCCAGATTTCAGTTTAGGTTCTGCTGTTTGCCAGCTGTGTGCTGCAGGGAACTCACTTACCTCTCTTTCCTAGTTTCCTCAGTTGTCAAATGAGAATGATGTTTGCACCTACATGTAAAGCACTCAGAACAGCAGTTAGCACATAGTAAGGGCTCACTAAGTGTTGGCTGTTATTATTGTTGTCATCATTATCATCAGCAGCATTAGTTTCATTATTATCATCACCTCTTAGACTTTGTATGTTTTAATATATCTCCATTTGATTACTTAAACCAGTAATAACATTCTTCATCCTGCCTTCATAGTTTTACCTCCTGCTCGTCCCCAATCTCATGTGATCCAGCTGAACCAAACTCTTTGCTGTTACCTGGACAGACCCCTGGTTTTTCCACTCTACCTTTGCCTGGCTGATTCCCTTACCGGGCATGACTCTCCTTCCAGTCTCTAATAGAGCCTTCTCTGATACATAGGTAGTCCTCGACTTAGGACGTATTTGAGTTACTATGAACCGTACTTACGACTGTTTTTTTGGTACATCTTATCATTAGTAGTATGTACTACATACTAGGGCTTTGAACTGGTTCTGCCCGATTCAGTCGTGGCTGAGGAAGCAACACCGGAATAGAGTCGAATTTTTAAAGTTACAGCGAACTGGAATGATAGCTGGAACAGGAAAAATTACGAGTTGAAGCCCTGCTAGAAACTTAATCTCCCTATTAGAGAACAAGGGCAGCATATGCATTACATGATAACCAAATCTCTTGCCCTTAGTTTTTGAGCACAGTCCGAAGTTGCGCTGCCCCGCTCAAAGATGGCAGCACCCTGCTCAGAGATGATGGCACCCTGCTCAAAGATGGCGGCCAACTGCACTGCTTTGAATGTGTGGTGCTCTCCTACAGTCCTGCCAACAATCCAGTCTCGTGCATCAGGCTCCTGAAAGGGCTCACTATGCCTCTTCCGAGTTTCGCATCCCAGGGCTTTGACCTGTTAATTATTCCCGTGCTGAATCTGCCAAATTGTAAAACTTCTTGTCTGTTCCTGGTTTGCTTTGTCAGCCATGACTGAACTGGTTCGAACCAGTTTGAAGTCCTGCTACAGACAGTGTTGCTGCACGTAATTTGCTAATGTTATCATTCTCAGATGTTCTCTTGCAGATGTTCAGTTTTATGATTTACTGTTCAAAACACTGCCGTATAGCAGGCTCTGGCCTGGTCTACAGTGAAGTCATTGTCGGTGCTGGGAGTTGTTAACAGAAAGTTAGGCGGTGTTCAACCCTAATGCCATATGACAATTGAACTCCGCATGTGCCCGACAGCCGTTAATACTCCGACTTCATTTTTATGACACTGACGCCAACTTCATTGTAGCCTAGGACTGTTACCCATTACCCATTACCCATTTCTATTGAGTCTATTTCAACTCATAATGACCCTATAGGACAGAGTAGAACTGCCTTATAGGGTTTCCAAGGCTATAAATCTTTACGGAAGCAGACTGCCACATCTTTCTCAGCCTGGGCCTATAGCGTGATCTTATTTAGCGTTTCACACTATAAGAAGCATCAGGATAACATGATGGAAGAGATCAGTGGAAAAGTTGTTCATATAGCAAGAATGCTGAATTTAAGAAGGAGAATTGACAGATGGGGACTTCATGGATTTTGAAGAGGAAAGAAATGCTGAAAAAGGAAGAAATAATGAGGACGAGGAACTTATCTTTCAGTCATTGAAAGGCTCTACTGAGACAAATTTACAGTGAAAGGGTTAGCTTTTTCTGAACTAAATCAGGGGCTTCAGTTGCTTGAAAACATAGACCTAAACACTGATCGCTTTGCTAAAGTCAACAGGCAGATTCAGGAAGCAGTGAAATGTTGCCATGCACTATATGAAGACAAAAAGAAAAGGACCATATAGACAACTGACACTAATTTTCTGACTAGAAATGCCATTCCCAGGGGTAATCCAGACGATCCAGAAGTGCAGTTATTACTGCAACTGACAAAATGTCACTGTCCAATTCTTCATCGTCTGAGTAAATTTTTATGAGTTGTGTATTTTTTTAAATGTATTTATGTATTAAAATATATCTGTTTCTATGTAATGTTTCCATGTAATGTTTCCAACCCCCAAAGACAAATAAAAGATCAGCTGTATAAAGACATTGATAATAGAAGACAATAATAATGAAAACGAAAAAAAAAAAAAAATGTATTCAACTTACGTCAGAACTGACTTAAATGACAGAGTTGTTGGAATGGAACCCCATCATAAATGAGGGACTACTTGTACTTATTGGGATTATGCCCTCCTGCCTCTAGCTTCGCATAGCACTGTATTCCCACCCCTGATTTAGTACTCACCACTCCTCACTTCCCATCTTGGTTACTTATATGTTAGTCTTGTCTCCTCTAATAGATGGAAAACTTAAGGGCAGAGCTCATGTCTGGTCCTTCTTCCTGTCCAATAAATACTGCATGCAGAACCTGTCCAATAAATACTGAGTGAACGAACATCCATCTTTTATCACCACAGTAGTCTTTCAAAAGGAATTTAACGTTTTCTAATGATCCGTTTTATCTAAATTTATATATGACAAGAATGGGGATAGGTTATAAAATATTCGTGTTTTTACCTGTGCTAACTTTAGACAGTGTTAATATTTGTTGACAGAGAGCTGTGATAAGAAGATTTTCATCTGTGAAATATCAGGATGTGTTTTGTCAGTCTGAGTTTGCTGCTCATTCCCCTTTCCTGTGCCTGGTGTCATTGTAGGTCTGGTTTGCATGGACTGTACTGAACATGGAATCCATCTTTGAAGAAGACTCTCAGCTCCGAAGAGTTGTCGAAGGGGAATTGGTTATAAACCCTGCTTTTACCCCTGACCAAGCTCTTAAGGTGCAAATAGCAGTTCTGCGTTTGAGTGGTAGAAAGTGGCATATACTTTGATGCTGATGGATTCACCTGTAGCTTTTGAACTGCTGTGATTTTTTTTGCCTTTTGTTGCGAATGTTTGGAAAGCACAGTAACCAAACTATTACTTAAACCTGTAAAATTGCCATGTACACTTCTTTCCCAAGGTTCATTTAACAATGAGAGTCACAACCTAGTAATTGAAGGCTGTGCACACTTCATGTGTGAAGGTGATTGCCATTGTTTCAAAGCAAGTTTCAATTTGTCTCGTGCATCATAATTCCCTGGAGAGCCTGTTAGAAGTCAGATCCAGAGCTCCCCAGCTGACTTCTAGTCTTAGTGTGAGGAAAACTGGAGTAAGACTTTAAAGAGCCTCTATTTTAGGATCCCATAGTATAGACTTTGCTTTTGGGTTTGAGAGCCTGCCAAGGAATTTATCATTCTAGAAAGGTCTTTGAAAATCTAAATTTTAATCAAAAGATTGATAAAGTTTGACAATAAAATTTACTTTTGGTTTTCCTATCATTCTTCTTCTTTGCACTATAGCATTTTAAATGTGAAAGAATTTCAGGAGTGGAAACGAAGTTAGACTAGGTGACTCTTAAACAACCCATTCTAATTCTGGGGTCTGTGAATTGTTTTGACAGAAAAAAAGCTGTCACATTTCTTGCTACCAGAGAAGTTAAAGTGTTAGATAGTGGGTTGAAGTTTTATGTGACTTTTTTTCCTTACCAAATTGAAAACAAAATTTTCAGCGCTTCATTTGGATCACTTAGAGTACAGACTATGTTTGCCATTTTGTTCATGTCATGGTTGCTCAAAGCCCTCTTCTTTTGTAGAAAGCCCAGGCCCAGCTGAAGCTCCCCATCGTCCCGTCCCTCCAGAGGCTGCTCATTTATCGTTGGGCCCACCAGGCTCTGGTCACGCCTTCTGATCACCCTCTTCTGCCACTCATTTGGCAGAAATTCTTCCTCCTGTATCTTCACCGCCCGGGACCGCAGTATGGGTATGGTAGCCAGTATTGTAAATTTCCATGAATCCATTCCTGCCTTTGCACTGTTGAGTTTCTTATGCAGTGTAAGTTAGACTCATCGTTTGGTGACAGGGTGCTAGTAGTTTCCCTTTCTCCTCTGTTTAATTCCGTTTTGGAGTGTGAGGTCCTTGTGGCAGCTCCCTCCTTACTCTCCCCCTTAACTGGCATGGAGAAGACAACACCCTGGAACTGATTAGACCCTCAGGCGGTCTGGGCAAGGTTTAGCATAGGAGCTTAGGAGATGCAGAGGGAGAGAAACTGCCCCAAACTGAGGCTGCTTGTGTGACCACAGAACTGTCATGGGCTCGTTGTGAGGGGACCTTACGCTGAGTAGTGCTGGTGTGAACCAAGACCAGGCTGTGTGTGGGCAGCCTGTGGGCCGTGTTTGGGGGAGTCTGATGTTTCCGCTAGGCATGAAGGTCCTCTACCAGCCAAGAATTGGCCTCTGTTACTGGCTGGTTCTCTCTAGCTCCCAGCCCAGTTCCTAGCTCACCCTCGTGCTCTTAGGCCACGCCTTTCAAACTATGAAGGTTGATTCTTTGTCACTTCTGGTTTCTACCAGATTGCAAGGTCTTCAAGAGCAGGGATCATCTTTAATTTATTTCTCTAAATAGTGATAATATGTTGATTTTTGTGTAGCATTTCATTCTTTTTTAAACTGTTTCATGTACACCATCTTGTTTGATCCTATCATGGGAACCTTGGAGATAGGAATAATAGGTATTAATTTAATGCTGTATATACACAGCCCTGGAGCCATATTGGTGTAGTGGTTTAGAGCTTGGCTAGTAACGAAAAGGTTGGCAGTTCGACTCCACCGGCTGCTCCTTGGAAACCATATGAGAGCAGTACTACTATGTGCTATAGGGTCGCTATGAGTCAGAATTGACTCGACAGCAACAGGTTTTTTTTTTTTTTTGGTTTGTACACAGCCATAGGTCCCTGGGTAGTGCAAATGGTTTGCTCTTGGCTACTAACTGAAAGGTTGGTGGTTCAAACCCACTCAGCGGCAGTGTGGAAGAAAGTCCTGGTGATCTGCTTTTGTAAAAATTACAGCCAAGAAAACTCTATGGAGCTCAGTTGTACTCTGTAACACTTGGGATCTCCATGAGTTGGAATCAACTCGAAGGCAACAGTTTTAGTTTTTTAGCTTTTTTTTTTTTTTTTGTTACACACAGATGTACTGAAAAGTTATAGATCTGTGTTTGTATTTTTTAAGGTTACCCATTGATGGTTGTATTGGAAGAAAGTTTTTTCAAAGTCCTGCTCATATGAATTTGTTGAAAGACATGAAGAGGCGCCTGACCGAGGTGGCTGACTTCCACCATGCTGCGAGCAAGGCCCTTCGCGTTCCAGCAGAGGGCAGCGAAGGGCCGTGTGTGAGCCAGGCGGGCACCCCTGGTTTCCTGACATCACCAGAGCTGCACACAGAACTCGTGAGGTGACACATGGTTATTTAGCTATTTACATTGTTGTTTTCTGCACAGGTACTCTCCTGGAGCTGTTACTTGTATTGCAAATTGCCAGATGTTGTTGTCTTAACCCTGTTAGATTGGATATGGAATGTGGCTTTGATACAGGTTTGCATCTTGAAATGTTTGTGTTCCTCATGAGAAGCAAATCAGTAATTTGGATGTACCTCTGTCAAATGGCTGGAGTCTGAGTGATAGGTTATAAATTAGAGGGCTGATACCCTCTTCTGTTTCTTTTATGTAAAAACAGAAGGAAACCAACACAATTCGTCATAGCATGTAAACTATTAAAACCTTCTAGGATAGTTTGGCAAAGGAGATAAATGACAAAGGCAAGGTCCTTAAAAGAGGGCTCACGGACTCTCTAACGGATTCATGGATCACCTGGGGTGATGGTGGGGTATCTGGGAGTCTCCCAAAGCTGCTTATAAAATTACGCATGATATTTGCATCCCCCAAAAGGTTAAGAACTCTGAGGTAAGTTTGGGTCCCCTTCACACTATCCCTTCACCTTTCATTTATTGCTTGAAATCAACCAAATATTAGTCTTATAAATAAGATTTGATAAAAATGGTTATTAGTAATTAACCATGAATAAAAATGGTTCTTAATAACCAAGCCTGAACACAAACTGTCTTGGTGAGGAAGCCCAGGGTTTTCATCCAGCACTGGCTTCAGGCTTCCCTGCCTGCAAAGCCCTTAGGACAGTCTCTTAGCCTCTAACATGATTTCTCCCTGCATCTGGCTTGGATGAAGGAAAACGTATTTAACCAGACTTAACCACTGGGAAACCTTTATCTTTGGGCATTTTAAATCAGCCAGGAAAGCTTTTGATATTCCCTCCTGCCTCTCTTAAATCCTCCTTCCTTCAGTGTGTTCATAAACTGGCCATCTGTCCCACGGAATCAGAAGCTAAAAGAGAGAGCTGCCCATTCTTGTCCCTTTAAGAGCCTCAAAACGCTACCCATGTCTCGCTCCCTAGAAAGGCTGCCCCAGAGGTGAAGGAAGTAATTTTCCACTCTATTGAGCAAAGCAATGCCACCTCCTGGTCCCCCACCTAGTAATTTATGTATTGTAGACTGCTTCTCTAGGACCTGTTGTTGCAGACAATTGCTTAAAATACCAGTGATCTTAGCTAAATGTGCTGTGTTCTTGTAAAACCTAAACAAAGTAAAAACAAAGGAAACTATTGTATTTTTAAATGTTTTTGCTGGAAAATTTATTTATTTATTTATGAACCTGGCTTTTTTCTGTTCCTTCTTAGTGGGAACAGGTACATTCATGCCAGGAGCTTTGTCTGTGATTCCTTGAGGCAGGATATCGACGTTGAGCCTAAAGCTGGCAAGTTCTTCCAATGCATAAATTTAATGTGGTTTTCATTGTTTTCTCTCAAAGACAGAAAATGTGTTTATTTGACTGTTTTTTTAACTTTCGCAAGCTCTAAGGCTCACTGTCCCAGGAAAGAAAAACTCTCAATTCAGATCTTAGGTCTGTGTTAAAATCACCTTCTCTAGTATTTTTTCTGTATACTGTATTTAACCATATTTTAATAATAGAGTTCTTAGAGTCCTTTCTTCATATCTTTTTGCTTTAGCAGTTATCGCATGATATTTTAATTATTTGTGACACGTCTTTCTCCCCTGCTGGACTGTAGTTCCTTGGGAATTGTGGTGGTTGTTGGAAACATTTTCTGTATTATATACTTTACTTTTATGCAGTGGTGCCAGAGTTCCTAGACATGCAAGAAACTTAATTTGCCTGCACATCTTTTTAAATTTTATGTAATTATGTTTTTGTCTTTCAGGCTCTTCAATGTATATATATTATGGCTAGAAGATGAGAATTTTCAAAAAGGAGATACCTATATCCCTTCCTTACCAAAGCATTATGATATTCACAGGCTAGCAAAAGTGATGCAGAATCAGCAGGTAGAATTACAGCTTTGTCTTCTTTAACGTGCCTGACTAATTTAAATTGGTCGCATTCATAATCTAATGGTAAAACCGTTTATTGATATGGAAATGGGTGGTTATTCAGATGGTCGTTGTTTCTGTGAGTTTTGTCAGTGGGTATATAGTATATAAGTCATTGTATTAAAGGGACATTCCCTTTTGAATTTCTGGCCCCACAATGGTTTCCCCTAAAGGCTTGGAGCTCATTCTAGAACTTTCTACAACCTCACAAACATAGCTTCCGCTGCCTCTTTGTATTCTTTCTTATTTTAAATTGTCAGCAACTGAACATTTTTAAGCAATCACCTCAACTCCCATGAAAAGTACAGTGTAAGGATTTATAAGGACTCATACTTTATAAAAGAGCTCTAGTCACACAGTGATTAAGCACTCAACTGCTAACCGAAATGTTGGCAGTTCGAACTCACCAGCCGGTCTGTGGGAGAAAGATGTGGAAGTCTGCTTTATGAAGATTTACAGCCTTGAAAACCCTATGCGGCAGTTCTACTCTTTCCTGTAGGGTTGCTGTGAGTCGGAATCAACTTGATGGCAATGGGTTTCATACTGTATATAGGAAGGAGTTAGAAAGAGAAGATAAGGAGCTCACCTTTGTTTGGCTTCAGAGATGTCTGACTCACAGGTGTCGCAGTTCCCGCTGCCCCTCTGAGCCATTGATTCTGGTCTTCACATGTCCTGAGCTGTTCTCTCCTTAGAACCCAAAGATGCGTGTGATCTTTTTTAAGGCTAAAACTTCTAAGTTTTCTCCAAACTTCTATGGTCATCTTCAGAGATGGGAGACTGGCACACATAAGATACTTCTTTTATCTCAGTTCCTTTTACCTAGAGGCTGAACTCTTGTTGGTCATTGACCCCAATATTGGGATGAGGTTTAAGAACCTCTAAGACTTGAGAAGGAGCCCTGGTGGAGCAGTGGTTAAGCACTCAGCTGTTAACTGAAAGGTGGTGTGGTTCGAACCCACCGACTGCTCCATGGGAGAAAGGTGGCAATCTGCTTCCATAAAGATTATAGCCTTGGAAACCCTATGGGGCAGTTCTGCTCTGTCCTGTAGGGTCACTTTCAATCGGAATCGACTCAATGGCATTGGGTTTGTTTTTTCTTTTTTTTAAGAGACTTGAGAGACTTTAATTTGGATCCTTTGGCTCCTTAATCCTACTCCACTTTTATGTAATATATCATCTCCAGTCTTTGACTTTCTATTTCGTTTCCTTCCTCTCCTTCCTTCCCTTCTTCTTTTCTTTCCTTCCCCCAAGAGTATTTATTGAGTGCCTTCCAGGTGCCAAGTATGTAATGCCAAGGATACAAAATGAAATCTGACACAGTTTCTGCCTTCAAGGAGCTTATTGTCAAATGGGGGACTAAATAAACAATTATTACATCTTGTGATAAAGACTGTAGGAGTGGAATGCACAGGGTGCCTTGGGAACATGGAGGAACAGCCCCTGATTCAGACTGGGGCTGGAGTGGTGATCTTTGAGCAGAAGTACAAATAGAAGTTGGTCAAATTGAAAGGAAGGGTATGGCAATGGGAAGTGACAGAGGATGTTACAGGCAGGAAGAGCAGTATGTGCAAAGAATGGCAGGTGAGAGAGAGCATAGCATGTTCAGAAAGGTGCAGGTTGGGGCATAGCAGCTGGGGGGCAGGTGAAACCAGAGAAGTGAGTAGGGGTCAATTCACTAAGGGCCGTATATGACTTTCTAAAGAATTTGGGCTTTATTTTAAAGTCTTTTGTTTGGAGAGCTATTAAAATAGTGGCAATGACTGACTAAATGGATGAATTCAAAATATATTGAAGAAGAAGACCAAAAAACCAAACCTGCTGCTGTCGAGTTGATTCCAACTCATAGCGACCCCTTAAGACAGAGTAGAACTGCCCCATTGAGTTTCCAGGGAGCGCCTGGTGGATTCAAACTTCTGACCTTTCGGTTAGCAGCTGTAGCTCTTAACCACTGAGCCATATTGAGGAAGAGTCCTTAAGATTTTATGATTGATTAGATAACACAAAACCAAAAAATGAAACCCATTGCCGTTGAGTCAATTCCAACTCATAGTGACCCTATAGAACAGAGTAGAATGGCCCCATAGGGTTTCCAAGGAGCAACTGGTAGATTCAAACTGCCAACTTTTTAACCACTGTGCCATCAGGGCTCCAGATAACAAGGACTCCCAAATTTCTAGCTTGGGCAGCTAGAGATACTGTTTACAGAGGTAGGGACTACTAGATGAAGAAGCGCCTGAAGGACTTCAAGGAGAGCTCTTCTGTTAAGGAGTTGGGGGCAGGGGTGGGGAGGAGATACATAGGTGTGGAACTTAGGAATGAGGCTGCCTAGGAAATGAGGCTTTAATGGTAGTAGAATATTTAGATTAAGAAGATTGAAGATGAAACCCTGGAAGAAACGTTTAAGGCACAGACTAATAAAGCTGGGGATATAGTGCTAGAGAAATAGGAAAAGTAAGAGATCGTGATGACCTGAAATCCTTTGAGTGCAGTTCCAGTCTCATCTCTTTTTTATACCTTACACTCCAGGGCCTTATCCAAGGCTTTGCACATAGTCATACTTGGTCAGTGTTTTAAAACATTGTACCACAATTAAAAAAAGAAAAAAGTTTAATCATACCTTTCTTGGTTTCCTGAGACTTAGCTTGCTTACGCAGCATCCACAGATTTAATTGCTTGCTTTCTTTTTTTTTAAAGTTAGTCTTTGCTTGCCATTGGATGCATATCTCTTACTTTTGATCTGTAATTTAAGCTCAGAGTCGTCCTCTCTTTGTGTGATTTCTGAGACATCTCTGCTTACCCATCATCAGTTCTCAGTATTTGCTCTGATGGTTAGCCTCTGTCAACAGTTGTTTAGCACAGATGCAGAAAAGGTGACATAGGAACTACAATTCAAAGAGAAGTGTGTACTCAGGAGGGTTCAGTACAGCACACTGAACAGTCTGGGCCATATAGGGTTCAGGCTTGTGATCGGGATTATACTTCGGAGTTCCTCCTCTGAGTCTGGAATCCTTGTGCCATGGTTAGTTTGGAAATAATGGTTTAGGACTTCATGGCGGTATGCTAATTGAGAAGCTGGGAACATTTTTAGGTTTAGAGGAACCCTTTGAACAATTAAAGTCAGAAAAAAACATGGTCCACAAAACCATAGTCCATATTTGATCACCTGCCATTAATATTTGAAGTAGTTCTTAGTGTTCAATAGCATTTGAAATTTTTTCTTTAAAGTAGTTCACCATTCTAATAGGTAGTAATCACCAAAAGGAAGTACATATAGTTCAGAATATGCTAGACACGGCCCTCTGAAGTATAGAAAGTGAACACTAGAACTTGTATTATCGTATTATTTTATTTATTTAACCTTTTATTATGAACACTCAATCATATAGGAAGATAGAGTAATATAATGGGCATACTCTCCCTTTCTCCCCTCTTCCCCCACAGTGCCCCAGGTACTGTGTGCCTAGTTTCATCTATACCTCATCCACTCCTTTGACCATCTTATTTTGGAGCTAATTACAGAGAGCATACCATTTCATACATAAAAATTTCAGTATGTATTTTTTAGAGATACCAAAAAAAAAAAACCAAACCTGTTGCTGTTGAGTCGATTCTGACCCAAGATAAGGACTGAAAAATAACATAGCCCAATAGCATTTACATCTGAAAACTATTAACAGTTATTTCTTAATATTAAATGTCTATCACTGGATAATTTGTGTAAACTTGTTAAACCAGATGCTGTCGAGTTGATTGTGACTCATCAAGACCCTATAGGACAGAGTAGAACTGCCCCATAGGGTTTCCAAGGAGGAGATTGTTAATTGGGAACCTAATATACTGTGTAAACTCACACCAAAGACAATAAAATACTACTTATAAAAAACCCACAAAAACAAATATCTAGTCAGTGTTCAAATTCCACTTGTCACATAAATGGCATAAAAGTTTTTATTTTTTTTTATTTTTATAGTTTCCATCAGGATCCACATTTTGTGATTGGTTGCTGTATCTTATAAGTCTTTTTAATCCATAAGTCTTCCCCTCCCCCGCTCCTCCTTGCAATTTATTTGTTGAAGAAACTGGGTAGTTTGTCTATAGAGTTTCACCACATTCTGGATTTTGCTGATTGTGTCTTCGTGGTGTAGTTTAACGTGTTTTTCTATTCCCTGTATTTCCTATAACTTGGTATTTGGATTTAGTAGCTTGATCCAGTCCAGGTTCAATTATTTTCAGTATATTTATATTTTATCTCACCCTTTAAACATTTCCGTTTTTTACCTGTGTCTTATAATGCACATAATTTATTAGCTCAGTAGTGTATGCATATAATTTATAAGTGTACATATAGTGCTGCTGTTAAAATTATTTTTTCTGATTGTGGTGCACAATGAAAGAAGTTTTGAGACCACTGCCAAGAGTGGCCATTTTAAATGGGATTTATCCTAATGCTGGAGAAATAGAAGTGAACCATGTCATGTTGAAACTTACTGGTCACTTTGTAGTTAAATATATAGTTTTATATGATTCATCTGTCAAAGTTAAAGTCCTGTGGTTGTATTCTAGGATCTGTGGATGGAGTATTTGAACATGGAGCGCATTCATCATGAGTTTCAGGAAGCTGTTGGTCTGTGGACACAGGCCAAGCTTGAGTCCCATTCCCCACCCTGCAGTTTGTCAGTGCAGCTGGACTTCACCGATCCTTTGTTGGGTGAGTCATGTGAGCATCAGCCCCGTTGAGTGAGTGAATGATTGAATCAGAGCCAACGAACGTTACGTTTTACACAATCTATCCCTCCAGTAAGGATTGCTTTTTAGGAATTCACTGTTAATTTAGTCTATCACTTAGAATTAGGTTAATCTGAGAGAGGGAGAACTCCAAAACATAATGGCTTAAACAAGACAGAAATTTATTTTTTCTCACATAAAGTAGTCTGGAGGCAGGCAGTTCAGGGTAGTAGGGTAGATTTCATGACAGCTTCAAGCTTTTAAGGACCGCTGCTCCTCCTATCTTGCTGCCCCACTATTCTTACACGAGGCATCCACTTACCATCCAAGATGGCTGCCTAAGCTGAAGCCGACGCGTACGCATTCCAGTCAGTAGGCAAGGGAGTCTCCCCCTTTTAAAGACTCGTTTAAGAAGGCCCTCAAAGACTTTCCTGTTACGTCTCATTGACCCAAACTGAGACACATGGCTGTACCTAGCTGAAAAGAAAGTGGCCAAGTATGTTCATGGTTTATTTTTATTTTTTAATTTTATTTATTTTGTTGTTGTTCATGGTTAATTTTTTAAAGAGACATTTTCATTGACTTATGAACTATGTGTAAAGTGCATGTTTTGGATTCTCAGTTTGAAATTCAGAAGTCTGTCTTTTTTCTTTTATAAACTCTTGTTCTCTCTATCTGGAACTCTTACCATACAAATGGATCACATTCCCAGAGTTTCTAAATTGGTTGTTTCTCACAGTGCATTTTTCTAGAGAAACAGTGTTATAAACTGTCCCTTAGTTTTGTAGGCCAGGCCATAAAAATCTGTTTAACCTGCAAAGTAGCTGATGTACTTATAACAAAAAAAAAACAGAAAACAATATTCAGGGTAACCTTTTAATTTTAATTACTGAATATATTTTAAAAACGCAGGACACATCATGAAATTATAAATATGTAATTGTTGACCAAAATATTGGCAATATATAGTGTAATAGAGCACTGAAGAGATTTTTCAGGGAAAGGTAAAAATACCTTCTTGTTCCACCTCTGGCACTAGCCAACTAGTTAGCTACGTGATCAGATTAAAATAAGAACCTTTCTGAGCTTCAGTTCAGTCATCTGTAAAATAAAGTTGCTGCAGTCTTCTCTCAAATTTATCCCTCCAACACCCCTCTTTTCCCTTTTTTTCTTGAAATAATTTCTTTTTCTGATTACAAAAGTTCTATGTGCTCATTAAAAAAAAAACTTAATATAGGAAGGTATAAAGAGGGAAGTAAAAGTTGCCTTCACACCACATAGATTCTCATTTTCTATTTCTGAAAGTTCGTTAAATGAGAAGAAGAAATGTATTGCTAGATCTAGAAACTGTTGACTGCTTCTCTGCCTCTGTCTTCTATCTGATGGTAGTGCTTTCACGTTGCCCTAACACTTCCCTAGTAGGCTAATTATTTTCTCTGGAGTTAGGCTAGTGATTTATTAAGCCCTCAGCTTGTTCTAGACATTGTCCCAGTACTTTATCACGATTAACTCAGTCCTCACAGTAACCCTATGAAGGTTATTCCATTAAGATAATGGGAATAATTGGGAGTAGAGAAGGAACCAAGTATACGGTGGTTAGTTAATTCGCCCAAGTCACACAACTGATAAGTGGCAGAGCTGTCTGTCTCCAGAGACCCTGTTCTTAACCAGGTTATTATCCTTCCTACTCTTGTTTCTGGTGATCATACAGGTTGCAATTCTAAACAAAATTAAGACCTATATTTTTAAATAATAAATTTCAAATTTTTCTTAGATGATAGCAGGTTAGGTAATGATTGCATGAAACAACTGAACTTGTGGTTGTGATTATAGAAAGAATTTAACCAGTACTTAACAGGTATTGTACATGTGTGACCTGAGTTCTTTTTGTTGAGTTAAATTTGTTTTGTTGGCTTCATAATTTTAGGGCAGTTGTGGTCTAGAGTGGTGATTACAGTTAAATATGCTCTGAATCTAAATTTTTATCTTTTATTTTGTATTTAAAGTATTATTCTTGATTTTTATAGTGAGCTTGAAAAGGAGACCTCAGTTTGCCTTTGGCGTTGTGGCCTACGTGCTGCTTGAAAGAAACGTTAACATAAATAGTCAAGAGTCTCATCCTAGTGATGATTCTTCAGGCTTGTTGTATCTTGTGCAAAGTGTGGTACTTCTAATGGAAAGACACCAGCTGTGAGGGACAGTGCTATGCTTGACCTGTTTGGAATGTTCAGTTCCATCTGTTTGGGGTATAAACAATGCAGGTCTCCTTATGCCGAGTAAAGTCATGACTATTAATTTTTTTCTAATTTTTCTTAACAAGAATAGGAAATTAAGTGCTACATCTGGATTGAAATTGGAAATTCTTAGGAGTCCCTTAAGTACTTGTTGACTTATTGACTTGGAATGCCCTTGACCTCTCCCTGTGCTCTCCCACTATTGAAAAGAATTGGATATATGGCAGCATTTTTCTTCAGTTTCCACCTGCAGGGTGGTATGTGTGTAGTGTGGTGAGGATAGAGGGAGGGAAAATAGGAATTTATTGGACATCTACTGTGTGTTCAGCTCTGTACTAGGTATAGAAATATGTAACATTTTAATTGTATTAACCAGTATGAGATCTTGTGCAATCTAGTGCAAAGTTGCATGGTGCAGATTCATCTTTATGTTCCTTGTTGCTTGGGCTTGTTGTGTTGCTGTGATGCTCAGTGTCTTATTTGGACTTCATAAATCATTTGTTGAGTGAATGAATTACTGTATGATTGCATAAGTTTAAGTGCTGTAGGAGTTTATACTCATGTCTTCATTTTAATTCTATTATTTCCAGTCTGCCTGTTTTTGATTTTTCACTCAACTATATTCCATAATGCTCTTTCCTTTTATTCCTGTGAAGTTTGTCTGAACGACTGTATTAAGCTCTTAACTGGTCTGCCTACCTCCAGACCTCATTCTCCCGATCCATCATCCAGATGATAGCTGCCATCTTTCTCAAGCTTGCTTAGAGCTGTTTACTGTATCCCCTTTACACCAGTATCAATTCTAAACTTCTTAGCATGTCATGCAAAGCAATCTAGTGTAGTAATTTAAGATCATGAGCTTTAGCTCTTTAACTATCATGACACTGTAAACTTTTTGAGGATAGGGATTCTATTTAATTATACCACATGCTCCCAAGCTCCTAGTTTCCAATAGAAAATTATTAGCTTTGTGGGTATACCCTAAAAACTTCTTAAGTAATGGAAGATAATGGTTTTGTTCGTTTAGGCCTCTTGTGGCCTAAGTAGCTATTCTGTAGCTCTTCAGCATTCTTTATGAAAGTAAAAGGCCATGGCTTTGTACCCATTAGAACATTACTACCCATTAGTGCCCATTACTTAGTAAATATGACTTTTCTTTCAGCTAAAGAAAGGGTTTTAGGTAACTTGCGGAAACATGAGGCCCCCCATCCTCCCCTTGTTCTGCACCCTCTGAGGCCTCCCGTCCCAGTGATTTCCTCAGCCACGCTACTGAGTCAGAAGGATGCCACCCAGCTCGTGCGCATGGACCTGAATCTGCTGCAACAGCAGGCCAGGTAAGACTAGGAGACCTCAAGAATCATGCCTTCATGCTTGCTGCTTTGACAGCCTTGATGATTTACTACTTAGAATGGCTTCCTCATTAGGATACAGACTGGCCCAGACACTTCACTTCGCTGTTTTGTGACACGTCTTTTACTTTCACATAGAAATAATGTGGTGTTCTCATGGACTACAAGTTCTACATGTTTCCTGGGGTGACATTTCTGAGTGTTGTCAGTGCCAACCAAGTTTTTCTCATGCTCCTCCTGAGGAGACCTGCTGATGGAAAGATGATGTGGAAAGCATGCAAAATGAGATTTGCTTTTTTTGGTCACTGCTTTGCTCTCTAAAGCTGTATTCTTTTATTTTTAAAAAATTTTTTAAGCTATGTTTTATTTAACCCATTATATCCAAAATGTTATCATTTCAACATGTATAAAAAATTATTAATGAGATATCCTTTTAAAGCCATATTCTTTTAAAAATTGACATAGACACTTGATCAATGTTTTAAGTTCGTATGAATGATCATCTGTTGAAGGTTTTGATTCTAACTTGTGATATTGTGAGGAGGAGAGTATGTGGAGCCTGTTTTATTAATAGTAATTGAGGTGAGGCTTTACCTTTGCAAATCCCATGTGAGTCTTTTATTGGCCTTTTCTTTCTTGGCTGTTTTTGGTCCAGGCATTTGTTGTGTGTGTGTTGTATGCACACATGTGCGCATGAACATAATAAATACACAATTAGAACAATATTGACACCCCATGTACAGAATTAGCTTTCTTCGTCATTCACATACCAATTTGTGCTGCTAATACCTAAGAAGTCACTGGCACCTATAAGTAGGCGCCACTTTAGGATGATTAAATTTGGATGAATTATCATTTCTTCTATATTTAAGGATCCATTTAGAAAACCGTGTTAACATAACACAGATTTTTAATGGACCTTCATCTCTGACTCAAAAGTTGTCCCACTTTTCTACAAGACTTTTCTTCCTTTCTTAGCCTGAATGGCAGGGGAAGGATTTGGGTGAGTCTTCACACACACACCTTTGGTCCTCTGTTACTTTGAAATTCTTGTGTCTTGCTGTGCTGTAATATAGGCTGAGGGTAACTAGGAAGGTGGAAGCTTTATCACTTATCATGTAACCTTTCCTGAGTCTTTCTTTTACCTCCTGACGATATTTTTCAGAACCTCAGCTCTTCGGGAGTCTCAGCAGGTTGCCCTGGATAGTGAGCTGTTGGACACAATGCCCAAGCAGTATATTAATCGAGAAGAACAAATCACACTACATTTGGAGTGTAGAGGCAGTAGTGGTAGGAAATGCCAAGGAGCAGCAGTTGTAACAGTTCAGGTAAGCTTGTTTAAATTTCTTCACGTTGTTGTTGTTGTGTGCTGTTCAGTCAGTTTTAATTCATAGCGACCCCATGTGACAGAGTAGAGCCGCCCCATAGGGTTTTCTAGGCTGTAATCTTTATGGGAGTAGTCTCTAATAGTGGTATGTCATTGAGAAAGATTGAAAGAACTATAGAACACAATCCATGTCCCAAAACATTTTTTTTAGGAGAGTGAAGACACATATAGAAAATCACATATTTCGGCAAGTGCCAGATGAGTCCTGCAGATGGGTAGTCAAATAGGAATTCAAAGAAAATCAGAATCATTGACAGGATTCTTAGGCTTAAACTGATCCTTCCAAGATTTTGATGGGTTTGGATTCAGTTAGAAGGAATGTGGGGATGGAGTTGCCATGATGTCATCTGGGGGTCAGTGAGTAGACCAGTCTGTTTAAAGTTGTTTTCAGGAGTGGTGGTGGAAATTGGTGTTGGAAAGGTTGGTGTGGACGATTACTTGGGAGCTCTGGCTATGGGTTGTGGACAGTGGGGAGCTGCTGAAGATGAACATGTGAAGAACATGTGGAGTGCAGAATCAGTTGGGTATAGCTTGCCAAGAGACAAAAGGAGAGACGTGCAACAATATGATTAAAAATTCAGCTGCTTCTCAGAGTCACCTTCTTGAGCTGGAAATGTTGGCAAGAGTAGGAATTGTGGCGTCATAAGAACTTCAGAATGGAAGCCTAGCTTTAGCTAACACTTCATAGCACTTCCTGTATGCCAGGTACTGTCTAAACACTTCCATAAGTAATTTTATCCTTAGAACAACATTATGAGGTGGGTATTATTATTGTCTTCATTTCCAGATGAGGAAATAAATAGAAGCATGGAGAGGTTAAGTTATATACCCAAAGTGACATGGCCGGTTATTGGCGGATCCAGGTGAAGCCCAGGCAGGCTGACTCCAGAGCTTGTGCTCCTTCATCACTGCACTTTCCTTTTTCTCCAGTGAACTCAGTGTTCCCTGAGCCGGGAGGGAACTGCTTGGAGATGGGCACTACCTGCTGTCTGACTACATTGCACAGAAAGAGCTCTTCTTTTTTACTCTCTTTTTGAAATTGTTGTTGTTGTGTTAGGTGCTGTTGAGTGGGTTCCTACTCATAGGGACCCTATAGGACAGAGTAGAACTGCCCTGTAGGGTTTCCAAGGAGCAGCTGGTGGATTTGAACTGCAGACCTTTTGGTTAGTAGTCGAGTTCTTAATCTTTTCACCACTAGGGCTCCCGTTTTGAAATTGAGGAGACTTTATTTTACTGACTCTTGGTTGTCTTTCAAGTGTTTCCCTTCTTTTTTTGCTAATTCACATTTTAACTGTTCTAATGTATTCATCAATCTCCTTGGGAGACTGTTTTCTCTAAAATTTCTTCTCTGAAATAATCTTTTATACTTTTTGTATTTTTAATTACCTTCAAAATTTATTTCTGATTTTTCCAACATAGTTGTATGTATCTAAACTTGTATGTATTTTCCAGTTAAGGAGTTTGACCTGAAAGTCAAGATGAATTCATCTTATTTTCCTACATTTTACTGTAAATATGTCAGACTCCTACACATTGAGATAGAATCTTTGGCCACGTACTTAGGAAGTTAATTTCCTTATCAGTATTTTTCCCCCCAGTTACTAATGCTTTAGTAAGATCAGGGTAGAGGTTTTTTAAGAAAGACCACTTGCTGAAGTAATAAAGTTGGAAGAATAGTTTGCCAGCTAAAGGTGGAATTCAGGTTGGTGGCAAAAAAGCTGAAAATGTATCCGGTCATAATAAAAAAGGGATGTCTTATAAAGTAATAAAGCTGGAGAAATAGTTTGCCAACTTAAGGTGGAGTTCAAGTTGGTGGCAAAAAAAAAGCTGAAAACATATCCGGTCATAATAAAAAAGGAATGTCTTATTACCAGTCTGTTTTCACAAACACAGTATTTTTCCATATTTTGAGACTACATGTCTTTGCCAGGTGGTTAATTCTGTATAAAAAAGGGAATTCTCCTAAGATGCGTTTTTATAAGTGACTAGTGAAATACATACAAAGAAATGTTTTTCCAATTCTGGCTGATAGCTTGCTCTGTGAAGAGTTGTAAATATTTGCCATCCCAGTCAAAGAACAGGTCTGCTGTTCACTCTCAGGATCTTGCAGTGGAAAATAACCACCAGCCAGACCAGGGAGCTTTAGCTGCAAGCCTACCAGTGACTTGTTTCTTTTCTTTTTCAGAAAAAGGAATCCTAAGTATGTGAACCCTTGAATTGAAATTTGTTCTATATTTTTTTTGCTTTATTAGTTTGAAATAAAAAGGTATAGTTTTCCTAAAATACCTTCAAACTACTTTTATTTGGAGGGAGGGTGAAGAGATGTTTTACAACAAGAAGGATTGAAGTGAATATGGCTTAGATTCTGTTGTTACAGGCATGCCAAAATACTTGTGCTTTTTTTTCTCAAAAGAAAAATTGGCAGATGCTAATACTGCTTGAAGAAAGAAGAGAAACAAAAACATAAGACAAACGGGGGAAAAAAAGGAGCCTTTTTATGGAAGCGTAAAGAATTTGATCAGTAGCTGTGTTTTGTGGCTATGACCACTACCCATTAGAAATATCCAAGTTTTCTTCAAACAGGTTTAATTTTCTGCTGGCCTCACTTGTTTGCTCAGTCCCCTGGCTTCCACGTCTACGTGGGAAGATCCTGAAGCTTGAGAACCCCTACTGATGGCTCCTAGAAGCATCAGTGTCAACAGCAGTATCTACTTCAGCCATTATTCTGCCTGATTATTTAGATGTGCCAGGGGAATTAAACATGTGAAGATGGTGAGCAACTCTTGTAGTCTGAGAGTTAAATAGAATTTCTCTGGAAAGTTACATGTTGTTGTATGCCGTCAAGTCAATTCCAACTCATAGCAACCCTATATGACAGAGTAGAACTGCCCCATAGGATTTCCTAGGCTGTAATCTTTTTTTTTTTCATTTTTTATTTTTTTTATTGTTGTAGTTTAAGTGAAGTTTACATTTCAAGTTAGTCTTCCATAAAAAATTTTATGCATACATTGTTATGTGACCCTAATTGCTCACCCAATTCTGCGACAGCACACTCCTCCTTTCTGCCCCTGCTTCCCCATGTCACCCAGCTCCTAACCTCTCTGCCTTCCCATCTCACCTCTGGACAGAAGCTACCCCTTTGGTCTCTTCTATCTACTTGAGCTAAGAGGTACACTCCTCATGAGTATCACTTTGTGTCCCACAGTCCAGTCCAATCCTTGTCTGAAGAGTTGGCCTCAGAAATTGCTTTAGTTCTGGGCTGATAGAGAATCCAGGGGCCATGCTTGCCAGGGTCCCTTCAGTCTCAGTCAGACCACTAAGTCTGGTCTTCTTACTAGAATTTGAGTTCTGTACCCCATCTTTCTGCTGCCCCATCAGGGACTCTCCATTGTGTTCCCTGCCAGGGTGGTTGGTCATTGGTGGTAGCCGGGCACCATCTAGTTCTTCTGGTCTCAGGCTGATGAAGTCTCTGGTTTATGTGGCCCTTTCTGGTCTCTTGGGCTAATACTTTCCTTGTGTCTTTGGTGTTCTTCATTCTCCTTTACTCCAGGTGACTGGGACCAATTGATGGATCTTAGATGGCCTAGGCTGTAATCTTTATGGGAGCAGATAGCCTGGTCTTTTCTCCTTCGGAGCTGCTGGTGGATTCAAACTACCAGTCTTTCAGTTAGCAGACGAGTGTTTAACCATTGCGCCACCAGGGCTCCTTAGTGCTATGCTGGGCAGTAATTGCTGTTTGATCCTTCTAGGAATTGAATATGAAATTAATTTTTGGCTATTCAATAGCTAAGAGCAAGATAGAGGAAAGTTGAAACTAGCTGCTATGAAGTTTAGACATTCTCCATGCAAGTCAATTAGTTTCGCTGTGATTCTTGGCCAAAGACTACTTGAATCTGAACCCATCACAAATAGATGACTTTGGTTTTGGATAACTTTAGTTTTGGGAAGAAAGGTGTTTGTCAGGGGGGTAAGGAGGGTGGTTTCTGAGTGTTTGTGGCTTATCATGAAACTGTCACTAGGAAAACATCGCAGAGTATGTCCTGCAAAAGGTGGATTGCAGTATACTGACATGTAAAATGGTAACCTGTCTGTATACATGTGTCCAGTGACCACCTCATGGCCATATCTAGTAGTTTTGATTCTGTTTAGCATCTTTCTATTATTTAGTGATGCTGAACTTCATGAGATCTCATCTAGTCCCCAGGCATCTCTAACCACTTGTCAGTTTCCTTCCAGGGTTTCTTTTCCTCTGCTCAGTGCGTGGTGCTGCTCTTGACTACCTTCTTCATTGTGACATAATCTTCTTTTACCTACCATCTGTGCTGGAGTTCTTAACTAGGGGTCTGTGAATGGTATTCATGGGGTCAGTGAAGCCCTTGAAAGGGTATGTAAAATTTTTTTTCTGGAGAATTCATAGCTTCATTCTACCAGAATGTTCCATAGATACCTTAAACTTCATAGGTCCCAAAGTAATTTCTTCTTTATCCTCCAAACCTGTTCTTTCTGCAGTTCTCATCTACCTGATCTCTCAAACTGGAGATGTAGGCATTAGTGTCATCTTTTCCACGTACCCCACCCCACCGCACCTCCATACTTTCTGCCTAATTGCTTCCCAAGTTGTGTTGGTTCTGCCTTTGAAATGGCTTTAAGTTCATTCCTTTCTCTTTGTTTTCATTGTTATTTTCTCACAGTAGGCCACATCACTTCCTCTCTGAACTATTGCTAAAACCAACATTGTCTCCCCAGTATCTAAAAGGAGTATGACTTTTTAGGGCCCTTCATCTGTTTTTGATCTTTTCTAGCATCATTCTTACCACCCACTTGCACTCCCTAAATGTTCTATTTTCTAGACACTTCAGACTTCTTTCTTTCTCCAAACACAGCTTTTACAGTTCTACCTTCATCTCTATGCATATGCTGTTTCTTGTTCTCCCCTCACCC